CCCTGTCATCGAGAAAATGCTGCTGCCTGTGATAAATCCATGTAGTTTAGAAAGACTAAAGGTAGAAAATACATTTGAATGATTTGGAGTAAAAATATTCAAAGGAGAAAAAAGCCCGCCAAAACCCCACCCATGATTATTTTTAACTTTCACATGACCATCATGTACAAGACTGGGGACTCTTTGGTTATGGCTGCCCATAATGTGTAAAATATTGTTATGTATTTCAACTGCCTCCTGGTGAGGAATGTGGAGGAGTGTATGGAGTGTAACAGGAGCCTTCTGGGGCATCAGACTGTCAGGGTGTGCTTGGCTGTGCTCAGGTGTGGCTGAGTGTGCTGGTTCTAACAGATGATGAGCTTGGCATTGATGCAAACCATACTGTGAGCAGTAAATGCTGTAGAATGTTCTGTTTATGCTGCTGCTCACAGCATGAACTGCTCCATCCAGTCTTCAACACTCAAGCAGCTACTGCCATCCTGCAGGTCAAGTTGGAGTCCTGGTGCCATTGTCCAGGTTGGTTTTTTTTTTATGGGGGTGGCATTTTTTTTGTTTTATTTTGTCAGGAAGATGACCTTTGAAAGAGATGGGTTTAAAGGAAGCAGAAATCTTTAACCAGCTCTTAAATTTCAAGCAAGAAAATCAAATTCTGATTTTTTTAGCTAGAAACTCTGCCTGGTTTAAGACTGGAAAGTAAAGAGCTTGTTTGGAACTGAAGCTTTTAAAAGAATGGCTTGTTGAACAGAGTTCTTATGTTCTGGTGTTTTTATCTTTTAGGGGCATGGCCAGTTCTTATTGATGACTTTGTGGAATTTGCACGCCCTCAAATTGCTGGGACAAAAAGTACGACAGTGTAGCACTAAAGGACCCTTCTAGAGTGTACATAGTCTGTACAAATACCTGAAATGGAAAATTGCACAGTCAATTTCTGCTGGCTGGACTGAACTGAAGATCAATCCTCACAATATGGCTGAGGGTTGAGACAAACCTTTAAGGATACATCTTGGACCATATCATATTTCATTCTTCTCCTGGTGGTTTGGGCTTTTCTTCTAGTCTGGACCACTCTTGCCCGTTAAAATTCCAACATTGTGGATTTCATCATGGATTTATTTTTTGTTGGTGGATCACCCTAGTTTCATCTCCCATAAGTCCTAGAAGCTTTATAATTATTTTGAGGTTTCTGGTTTCACATAAAGCACAATGCTGGTCATCATCAGACAACTGTTGTATGGCATCTGAATTATACAGAACAACATCGAAACAATTTTTAAAAGAATCCTTAAATATACACTTGGGGCTGGTTGCAAAGACTGTACTGAGAGCACTTCCTGCAAGAGTGATATATTTAAGTGTCCTGGGTCCGAGTTTTTTCTTTTCTGGAAAAGTGCAGGTATTGTCTAAGTGAGTTTGAGTACCTGGTAAAAACAAATACAGAACTAAGCAAGAAAGCCCAAGGTTGTTGATCCTGGGGTCTCTCGGTGCCTCCCTGCCTGGTTTGATCGTGCCCAGCTGGCTGCGAGGGCAGCTGAGCTACGACACAACTCTGTGCACTTACAGCACCCACGTGTGATGTCAGAGCCCTCAGTGACATCAGTGAGATGAGCTGTGTGTGTCCTCATAGCATCCAATATTCCCTAGGTTACTGTCTAAGAAATCAGATTTCATTGCAGTTCTGAAATGCTTATCTGTCTGTCAAAGAAAGGTTTTTCATTTCTGTGGAAATCGAAAACTTGAATATACTGAATTTGTGTCTTAACTGTTTGCTACACAATACAGTATTTTAAATTGAGATGTGTAACTTTTATGGTTGAGGTATGATGAAGCAAATGGCCCTGTTGTACAAGAAGCTGGTGAGTTTGATGTGAATCTAGGTTTTGAAACCATTATCCTGATAAGTAAGTTAAATCTTTGTAACATAGAGGTACTGCCGTTACGGATGACACCCTTTTTTCAATTATTTTGTTGAGTTTTCCTTAAATTGACATATCACTGTGGTTGCCAAATACAGAAATTAAGAGAAAAGCTTTCCCAAACAAGCACAGATCAGATACAAACTACTACACTGGCTTTGTTTAAATTATTTTGTTGATCACTACTTTTTACTGTCTTACTGCGTTTGACTAAATCAAGTTCATTTGGTTTAAAGCAGGTTTTATCAGATGCAATTATTCTTTAATATTACAAGAACTCTTGAGCTGCTTTTGTGGTCTTTTACTCCTCACTTAGTTACTTGTGAAGAGATTTGATAAATCCTGCTCTGTAAAACAAGCTGGAAAGAACAAGCTCCAGGAGAGGAGACAGACCGGAGTCACAAGTGAGGAGAGAGGGTTGAGTTTGTGCTCTAAATAGTGCCGTGATAAGGCCAGAATTATTTTTGAGATGAGTCACTGGTACTTGCACTAAACAGCAGCACACTTTTACGCAGATGCTAAAAGTATTTTAGGGAAAAATTGAAAAATATTAAACGGATGAAAATTTTTTTATTTGTACTCTCTGAAATTGCCCTTAAGGCTGGCTCCCCTTCCAGCAGTGCCCTTTTAGCAAATCCACTTGTGCATTGATTCCAAAAATACAGTTCCACAAAAACATTGCAGACATTTGCTCCAGCTACTGGAATTGGCTATGCCAAAAAGTGTGTGTTTTGCTGCTTTCAGTATATCCTTTCTCAATTTTGTGTAAATATAAATGGGGACTTTAAATTACAGGGGTGGGTGGGGTGGAAAAAAGCTCGACAAGGTATCTCTGCGTGCTGTTTTCTGTCTTGAGGGTTTTGGTACCGTTTCAGATTGATTAGTTCAAGTATTGCTGTGTTTGGAGAGGAGAACTGACTTGCTTTTTATCCCAATACAGACTTGTCCCTCCAAAAAGTCTGAGATTGGGCAGTGGCGAAATGCCGTGGTGTTTTAAAGACTATTCCTTTTGAATGCAAGATCTTTTCAACAAAATAGTGTTGTCATCAGTTTGGTACTACATGCTTATAATTACTGTGTAATTATAAAGAAATACATAAAACTTCGACTTATTGCAGAAAAGGGGTTATTTGTGCTATCATGGCATCTTAAAAGTTTTTCAAAATGACTGAAGTTGAAAGAAACAATGATTTAACAGGGTGTTGTTTTAAGGACAAAATGCCTGATTACAGGGAATATTTTGTATTGAAACGTGCTCGGATGTGGCCATGTGTGTTTTTCCTTTATATATTTGTGTGAGTTTTTTTCTTTCTTTTTTTTTTTTTTTTTTTTTTTTTTTTTTTTTTTAAAGAATGCAGCCAGTTGCTTCCTTGGATTGCTTTAATTCGTAAGTGCTTATGTGCTTATGTCTTCAATTCGATGATCTCCCCACAAATGGATCGATTTAATTTTGCCAAATGTCAAGGAAAAAAAAAAAAGAAGGCAAACATCAAGTTTGTAACCTGTTTTTATACATTAAAAAATGTACAAAATTAGAAGTGCCCTGATATAAAACACTTAATCTCGAGATTATATTTAGTAAAAAACCGTCATTTACATATCTCTGTAAGTTCAAATGTAACTTCTTACAATCCCTCTCATTACCAACAGAGGCAATAAAGCTCCAGTGAAATTGCCATGACTGAGGCTTCTCCTGCATTGTTTCAGTGTATTATTTGTAAGACTTATTTCTGGAATGTTCTTTTAAGGAGTGGGGGGGGGGGGAAAGCATGGAATACTTGTCTTCTGCATAAAATACAGTTTCGTGGTAAGTTGTTTTTTCTTTTTGGGGAAAAAAATAATCTAAAACCTGCTTGTTGTACATGTGTACAAGTCCCCATGGAGCCGGTGTTCCCAGCCCTCGGCATTGCCATTCCCTAGCATGTGAAGGAAGACACCACACACACTGCAGTGGTTTAAATGTGGCTGAAGACCATCCTACAGTAGTGAAGTGACTTTTTTTTATCGACCTGTTAATAAGTAACTTATGACCTGCTTCAAAACTGTTTTACAATGAAATCCGTGCTGAGAAATCCTTATTTAAGAAAGATATAATTTTTTAAGAATGCATTTAATAAACTTTTGTCATTCACACTTTATTTAAATACCGTTGCCAGAAGTCTCTGTAGATTTTATTTGAGTATGGTACAGTGGCTGTGTTTGGTTTTTAAACCATGGTGCCCTTCAGTCCTCTGAGCTCTCCAAGAGTTGACTGCAGCATTAAATACTTGATGAAATTATAATTTCATTTATCAGAAATAGGTCTAAGCTTTGTAGAACTGTAGCTGGTTTAGTACCAATGTGTAGAAGTATCTGCTTGAGTAAAGACCAAGAATTTTGCTCCTGATGGTTTAAACAGGCACCTGTAACTCAGGCCCAAGTCCGAGCACTTAAACTGGAAGTTCTTCTGCTAAATGGTCTTCAAGTTCTCAGACTAAACAAAAGCTGCCTGAATGTCATTTGAATATTTTGCAAGAAAATTAAAACTCCTTCTTTTCTAAATTCAAATTGTATGTGTTCAAGAATGTAACATTCCAAGCCTTCCTCAGTGTTCAAAGGACAACTGGCAGGAGTCAGAGGGATAACCCTGTAAATCAAATTAGGACCAGGAACCTGAGAGGGTGAGAAATGATGGGGCTGTAAAGGTTGTGTGTGGAGAGGACCAGGCTGTGGTTGGGCAGCTGAGTGAACTCTGGGTTACATTTACTGTTGGAGAAATGGGAACGACCCCCAGGCTGGAATTCACTAATCATCTCCTGGTGGGCTCCAGGGCCAGCGAGTTCCTGCGTCAACTGATTTGAGCTCAGCTGCTGGAGGGACACCCCTGCATCCCCTTACACACACATCTATGGGTGTATGTAGGTGTGTGTCTTTATGTACAGCTGTGGGGGTTTTTGGTTTTGTTTTGCTTTTCTTCCTGGTGGACTTCTCTCCGGCCTGAGACTGCTGGGAATACATCTACTGACTGATCCTGGGCCTGTGGCACAGCAAGCCTGGCTTTACTCTGCCATATTTTCCTCTAACACATAATTAAAACAATGACTCAGCTAGAAGTGAAAGTTTTATTTAATAAATATAATTTTCATAAACCATTTTCAAAACAACTTCTACTGACCAAGCTGTACAAGGAGCAAGCACACAGCCTCGCTGTCAGAGGAGCAAAACCAACATGAAGCAGCCACAGTGTCAGAGGTCCAAAATTCTTTGTACTAATTATTGCTAGTTTCCAGTTGGCAATGCCCCTTATTTGCCTAAAATTAAGGATCAACATCTTTCAAATAGTACTTCTTGCAGAGATTTTATCATTACAGTTTTTTTTTTTTCCTTTGGAAAAGCAGAACTTGATCACACTTCAGTGAAAAAACAGGGGACAAGATGATCTGTTGTTTTTGTATGCATAGGGATCCGAAATCTCTCATGGGACTGCAACTAGGAATTGTAAAATCTATTCTTTGAGATATAAATAAGATACTCCTGCAGCAAGGCGAGCCTCATTTTTAACCATTTCCCCCTTTCTATATATGCCCCAGAGATTATCTTCTAGCCCGTTCTCAAAACGTAAAAAGGTTGAGAACCTGCTGATGGATGAAGTAATTTCCTTTAAACCTGCTGAGGAAAAATTATTCCACCCCCCAGGCCAGGCCAGGGTTTCTTTCAGACAAGTCACACTCTGTGCCACAAACAGCAGCACATTTATTTCATCACGTTCCAGGCACAGCGTCAGCCCAGGGCCCCTCCGCTCACATCTGTGCATTTACAGCCCGGCACCACCGCGGCCCCTCTGCAGCGATGACGGGATGGACTGAGGGCAGCACAGCCGGAGCCAGGGAGCGACAGGAACATCCCTTCAACCAGCACCACACGGGCTCTCCACCCAGACAGTCCTGATGCCTCTGGGAGCAGGATTTAGCTGAAGGAAAAAAAAATCTACGGCAAGCAGAAGCCTCGCAAATACCGATGCAAATGCGCTTCTAAGACGACTGATGGCAAGAGCTGATAAGAGCCACGAGCATCCCGTTCTTCCCTCCTCCTGTTACAAACTGAGTCATTCCCAGAGAGCAGAACCCAGACAAATCATGCCGCTGGAAGCAAACAACAGAAGCAAAGAACGTACAAAACAACCAACAATAAAAATGTTTGCAAAAAAACCCCCAACCCAGATCTGCAAAGAAGAGAGTCTAGTTGGGAACTAATTTAGGAGCAGAATAAAGGCTAAAATTAGTCTCTAGTGAGCGGTTTGCCCAGTTCTAGGAACAACTGTAAGCAGGGACATCTGTGTAACGAACAAGGCAGTGGTGAGTCCAGCAATGATGGCAAGTTATTAGGGATTCTACACCAAAAAAATGAGAATCCCAAAATAGCTCAAAAATAAATGGTTCAGAAGCACATTATGCTTGAGCACTTTTAACACTGAATTTCACCAAAATCACAACTCCTTAGAAGTACCAAACTATGAAAAATGATTTAGACTACAGCTTTGAGACACTTCTAACACTAGAAAATGATATTTTATTCCAATATAGAAGTTACACTGTCATAAAAAACATGTTTGAGAGTACTAGCAAAGGTTTTCAGTAAGACATTGTAGGTGCCTAATATGCATTCTAAATTGCATGAGCTTTTTCTCAAATCACCTTTTGCACTTGAAAACAATAAATCACTGAAAATATAAAGCCAAAGTTTTCAGGGTTCCTTCCTTTGCAGTTTTTGTTCCCCCTCCCCTACCTGTAACCTTAAAAGATATACAGAATACTCTTAAGCAGAACATTTACATTTTAGTTTGTGAAACAATTCAGAACATCTTTCCACTGAAGTCTTTTCCACTGCATCCTTTTAAAAGCTTAAGTTTGGCAACTAAAGTTATGTTTTCCTAAGTAACAAAACCAAACCCTGTTTTTCCAGAACGAGAACTGACCTGCTGGGAATGCAATCCCATTTGGGAGGGGCTGTGGAGAAGGTGCTTCTTCAGAGACACTGCATAGTAAAGCGAGTGTACACCACTCTTGCTTTGAACTACAGACTCCTACTACAGGCTTTTATGGATTTTGAGGCTAAGAGAGAATAATAACACATTTCCTCCCCGTGGCAAATTGTCCCCCACCCGTTCCCACTCTGTCTCAGGGACGAATGCCAGTGTTACACTGAATTAGCTGGATTTTGTTCTGGCTTCTACACGAAGGATTCTGCACTGTGCCCAATGCACAGTGAATGGTTTCCTACACTTCAGCTGTCAAAGAAATACACAAAGTCTTTCTTCCTTGAAGTGTTTTTAAAAGCTTTGTGACATCAACACAAAACCCCAGTCACTTCTTCCATCCAAAGTATTTGTCACACCAAAAAATCTGGTCTAAGGCAAACCATGTCTATGTTCTGAATGAGACATTACTGACTTAGATTTACTGCAAATAGAAAAATATACCTTGGCAGACAGATGGATTCTTAAGTTCCTCCTTAATTGTTTAAATGCATGTTTCTTCGGTAACCTTACAAACACTGGGAAAAGGAAAAGTAGGGGGGAAAGGGAGGAGAGGAGATGGAAGGTTTTAAAGAAACATAATGAATGTAAATTATTCTTCAAATATAGGACTGTGCTGCTTTTGTGCAAATATAATTAACACATTTTTGTGGTAAAAGCCAAAATACATCACCCACAGAGCTGAGCCAATGGAAATGCTTGGAGTGGGGCTGTACAAGGCCTCTGCTTCCTACTGCACAACGTTAACCCCAGTCTGTATTTTGGTCCAGGACACACGAACCACACGGATGGATGAGGTCACACACACTGACGGGACAATGCTGTGGCTGACACGGACAAACAAGTACTGCTGAAAGGTGGAACACTGTGATTTAGGTGTAAAAGATACAGCTAAACAGCAGATATCTGATTAGAGCACATAAGTCTGCATTTCCTAGGTAACCGTGGCAGTGTGAAGACTCTGAGAATGAGAAACTACTACAAAGAAAATAATTTTAAACCCATGTATAATACTATAGATATGAAATATAAAGTGATAGAAGTAGATGAAATCCAAGTGTATTTTGCTAGTAGTGCATATATGGATAAGTTTTTTTGGGGACTGGAGAGACAACAATGAGGTTATTGCATCTCTGCGCTGGATCCAGGTTTCAAGCTGTCTGCAGTGGGATGAGTCACATGTTCATACCTGCTGCATGGAGAAGGCAAGGCTCGATTTTAGTGATTCCTCATCCCCTGGACACTTGCTGTGGGGATCTAGTGTACACCTGACATTTTCAAGCTCAAGCTTGTTTTTAGGTAAGGCACATGCAAAGGATCTGATCCAAGGAAAGCGGGACCTCTTCAACGCTTCCTCTCCTCATTGAACTCGGAAGAATTTGGGATGAGGGATTTGAGAATGAGGGATACACTCCTCTGGCAGCAGCCCAGGCCCCTACTGAGATGTAACCAGGAGGGTGGGATGTGCCTGCCTAAATCATGGAATACAAAGGATTTGCTGTGAAATGTGCTCGGGGGACAGCACTGAGGGCAACGGCAGCAACTCACCCGGGCAGGGGGAAAGCGGCTTTGCCCGAATCCTACACTTCCCCACACCTTTACTGAAGAAGTTCTGTAGGTGTTATTTACAGTCTGTGTTTGATTTACAGTTTGTTCTACCCCGAGTTAATTTTAAATACACAGCCTTTAACTGCCTGACAGGGAGAGTATTGAAGTTATTGATGGGACTTCAGTGTCAGAGGCTGACTTAAAACAGGATGTCCCAAAGCAGCAGCACTTTCACCAGCCACAACCCACAAACACCACTGTGCCCAAGGCAGTGCTCTGCAGCCATCCCTGTGGCAGCACCTCCATTTCATCTCCCACATCCAAAGACAACCATTCTGGCTGAAGGAACATGTAAATGTTGCTGCTACCCAGCCCCAAGCCTGCAGACACGTTTATACTGGGACAACAGAAGTACCTACAAGATGCACCATTCAAACCTCCAACTGTGCAATTTGCTTTTATTGGCATACTCAGGTATCAAAACATTGCCATCAAGGTCTCGGATCCTTCCGATATAACGAAGATAATTAAGCATTAATTATATCTTCAAAGTACAACATGACCAAATATAAATACATGAAAAAGAACAAAACATGCAAAAATTCCCCAACTTTAAAAGATTAATAATTCAAAAAATTTATGCTAGTGAGACTTCTGCACAATCCACCAATTCTTTAAACATTTTTCCATGTCGGGATCCGGAACTGTTAAAAAACCCACACATGGCATAATAAAGGATGACTGGCTTCCGAATTATACTTTAAGAGAACAGTGAACTGTTATATCCCTTAGTATTCCAAATTATTGATTTCTCACAGTTAACAGTGTTTTTCAAAGCAATGACTAATGTATTGCCACTCATATACCAGCATAAATATTTGAATTGCATTTAACTCTCAAAAATTACTAAACTGATTGCTCACAGAATATGGTAACCGTCCACAGAAACAAAAAAATTGATCCTCAAACTGCTAAGACAGCATCTGAGACACAGCTCAAAATGAATGTGTGTGTTTAAAGGGAAGGGTCATCATGAAAAATGCAACTTTTAAAACTTCAATTGTGCAAATTCAAGTTGATTCAAATTGGATCACTCAAATTTGGGAGGAGAAAGATGTTGTCATTGCGCTGCAGTGACGTCTCAAGTATTAAATTCAGGATTTCAATCTGCTCATACGGTAACAAAAAAGATCAAATGGTCAGAGGTAAAAGCATTCCTTACCTCCAAAAAAATTATTTAGCAATTTGTAGATATAATTAGAAAAAAATACTGGAAGCAATAGCTGTGCAGATGCCAAGCCACAGACAAGGTCTGTGCTTAGGAGTCACTCTACTCTTTCCTAGGGCAGCGACGGACACTGGACTCGCCTCAGAACCTACAGGTGTGTGAGCACCACATGGCTTCCACAAGGCATTTACAAATGTCCCTGTCAACAAGTGGCTGAGTCCATTGTGGAGAGAGTCAAGATGCTTCTGTCGTTGGCATAGAAGGGATCCGAGGAACTCCATGATCTAAAGTAACAATAAAAGAAAAGTTTGGCTGACTGGGAACTTATACTCTACAGAGGTGAGGAGAAAAGTCTAGGAAAGCAAAAGATAGAAGTGCTATGAGATTAGGCAAATGTTCCTCTTTAAAAGACTAATCTATTCATCTCATGTAGGCACCTGCAATTCATTCAGACCTTTGAGAACAGATGCCAACTCATGTCTGCTGTGTAATTAACAATTTACTCACAGCTATGGATATTTTCCTCACTATGAACTAAAACAACCAGCAGTTTATATGCCCCTTTTGCCACTAAAGTTTCAATACTGTGCCCTCAGGGAGACTCTGAATGCTGCCTGTGTACACTGAGGCACCACCTGAGGCCATTCCAGCAAAGCCCTGTGGGGCACAGCTGCCCCAGGAAACCCAGCACACCCGTGTCCCAACGGGAAACATCCACACTGGCTGGAGTTGTGGGCAGGCAAAACTGAACCACAGCCATGAATCTGTTTCATCCCTTTTACTGTTAAATTTTAAGACATCAGGAAAGCTACCTAAGACGTCACAGCTTCTGACTGAGATGGGATCTCACAATGTCTTTCACTTGAGGACAAATTACTGCTTGGGAAGAAATACTGTTCTTGGCTGAACAATGTTATGAAAACTGTATGTGAAATGCTGAAAAATAGAAGGCTGGAAGGCAGGAAATCAAAACGTAATGAATTTATCCTCCAAATTAGCCTCTGTCAGAAATCTGCTGTTTCTTTACAACTGTTACATGCAGTGCCTTGACACAAGTACCACTAATGGGAGATCCAACAATTCAGCAATGAATCCTACTGTACAAGAAATGTGATCCAGCATTCTTAGTATCTGAGTGACTGACAAGCTGACAGACAATTTAATGGAACAGACAGACAAAAATGCATTTTTTAACATACCACACCACACATTTTATAGCCTAACTGGTGAATGGAGCTATAGAAAATACTTCTCAAATACATTTTACAAGCAGTAAAATAAACACAAGAGAACTATACTCCTGTGGCCCACTACTCCAAGCATTTGTACAACTTTGATTCATCAAAGCTTCTATCAAAATTTGATACCGTGTTGGATTTCCTGTTCAGTTCTCATATTTGACAGAATATCAGGAGCACAGAATACAACACAAGCTGCTACAGCAACATTATTTAAAGAAGTGCTCTTCATTCTACAGCACTTGCACAGACAACGTATTTCTCAGCATCACTTCATTCGACAAAAATAATTTGCAGCTACCTCCTGGTTGAATAATTTGCTGCTTTATACAGCACAAGTGCTCAGGAGACCAACCTGTTGGGGACTGCACAATTTTCTGAAGATTTAGATACAAAACACAGCAGCTCAAGCTCGTGAACAAAGCCTAAACAATTTTACAAGCACTTTAAAAAATCACTCGAGAATTCTTAATGCTGTACCTTCAGCATTTCACGACTCGTAACTGCTTCGTGTGATTCAAGCAATTCATGGCTAGCCATGGCTTTGCTAAAAGATTCAAGCAATTAAGATGTTAAAAAATGAACAAAGACTTATATTACTAGGAAAGTGTAAGGGAAGAAAATTACTTTTAGCCTTGGTTTTAAGTGTCAATGCTGAGTAGAAGGAGCTGAAGTCACTGAAGACAGCAAGTATGACACATTTAAAAAAAAATCTCTTATCTAGGTGTACTGTACATAAATGTAAGTGAAACTAGAAGATTGTTCAGAGCAATTTCAACCAGAGGCAGCAGCAAAAACCACAGAACTGCAAGCCCTTAGTGTAGCACCAAGATAGTTTTGCATATTCATTAAATGTAATCCTATTGTCTGTGTTCTAAGAACTCTACAATTATTTGGCTTGATGGAACTTCATCTGAAAATTACATGAGGTAAGCAGACAAGAAACCTGAGAAAAAGCAGTCTTCAAAGATTGTTTAATATTCTGTCAAATATGAGTTATCTTCAGTAAGTATTTGTAAGTTCTCAAGGAAAGAAAATTTAAGTGGAACAAAAGAGAAAATTGTAAAACTGTGAATGCATTAAATAAAACACAGAATACCTACCTTATAAGACTACAGGTTACTAAGGCAATTGTTAACAAAAATCTTAATTAGATAACAATAAATGGAAAAGAAGTAGCATGAGAAATTCCTCATTTGGAAAGCACAGTTTTACAGAGAAGTGGAAAAAAACATCAAAAAACTTAGAGCAACTGCTACCAAAATGTTGATTTTTAGACCAATTAAATGCTCACCTTGTAGATTAAAAATTCTATTAAATTGTTTATTTTACACATCATGCCCGCTTTCTATACAGCAAGTTTGGATTAAAAATGTACTTAGTCATAACAGTTCATATTTCATATGGAATGAAACATTTTGCATATTCATAACCTAGGTTTGTAGAAACACTGAATAAATTTCATAAGCAAGCCAGAAGAGAGGGACTGACTGAAACCACAGACACAGTGTTCAACACAAGAGTTCCAACAGAGATGAGCTACAGACCAGGCAATACCTAAAGGCAGAATCAGAGCTGACAAAGCTGTCAGTGGAAATTACCCACACCAGACTTGACACCCAGTGAATGATATCACAACCTTTAACAGAAAGAGACAAAGTTGTCCAAATACAAAATGAGTTTCCTTGAAAATGTGTGAAGCTCAGTGTTTTCAGGTTTGCCTTTTGACCAGTGAAGGACCATGATATCATTCAGGGACTGAGAGATTACGATGTACAAAAGACTATTTTGACTTCTACCCCCAAATATTTCCATGTTTGTTCACTATCCCTCTATTTGGACATGGGGAGATGGCACATTAGGGGATTCAGTGAGAGCTCCTCTGACCATAAGAGCAGTATTGCTCTTTAGACATATCCCATTACTCTAACGTGCTTTTATCCCACTGATGTTTGTTTCACACATGGTTTGTGGAGGAAAGATTTATTTAGCACATACTTTGGAATGGCACACATGATTTTGACAATATACCTTCTAGAACCGAAAAAACATTTAAAATTCTTAGAACCTGAAGACTCTGTTCTGTCAATTACTCTGATTTTAGAAATAGCTTATAAAAGTTATACTACAAAAATATTTCATCTTCATATCAATCAATGGCTGAAAGATTTAAAGACTCTCCTTCTAACAATGAAGTTATATTTAAGGGGGGAGTGTGAGCCTTTTGTATATCTTCAGGAGTAATTCAAGCTCCAAGGTAAATATTTGGAGGTTGTACATCCAGAACCAAAGGGAAAAGTCTTTCGACTTCATAAACAACTCCTGATTCATGAAAGCAAAAAAAAAAATCATAAAAAGGAGAACAAAACCAGCAGCAAGGTTTGATTTTCTAAAGAGAAGAATGTACAAATCAAGAGAAATTACGATAGATACAACACAAGAACTTGTAGTAAAGCCAAACTAAACACTTTAACAGAAATCTTTTGAAAACTGTTTTTCCCCTCCCCATCCCAAAAGAAACCACTCAAAAAGAAACAAGAAACTAATCTTTTAGGATGAAAAGAAGTACAACAAAGAGTTGCATCTCCGACTTAGGTAAGCAAAACCTGCAGCTGATTTCTAGACATCTATTGCTGCAGGCTCATCGGGTTCCAGTTTATAGGAGAATCGTCTGCAGCAAAGGCTATTGAGAGAAATGCCACACCTGTTGACCCGGGTTGGGCTACATCTTCCCATTAGTCGTTCCAACATTCTTCTAACAGATGTGCATGCTGTTTCCCCATCTGAGAAGCAGCACATGGAGTCCAAGCAGTTGATACCTGAACCTGCCTCAGTAAGCTGGAAGGAAGGAATAAAAAAAAACAAACAACAAAACAAAACAAAAAAAAAAACAAATAAAAAAAAATCAGTACTCACAAATTCTAGCAATGAAGATGTTATCAGAAAACACTTAGGAAAAGCAGATTTTCTTAAAGTTAGAGTGTTGAATATTTTTCAATTTTATAGGAGAACTACAATGAGGAATAATATTCCCATGCCCCGAGGCCTATATACACTAAAATTTGATCTTTCCAAGGTTTGTTTGCAGCCTTGGAGCTCATGGAAATGGTTTAACACCACATCTGCCTAAAGCTGGAAATGATCTGGTTAGGAATTCTCTATGTTCCAGCTCTAACAAACCCCACAGCAGAGCACATGCAGTTTCAGCTGGGATTCACCTCAGTGGCCAGACAACAATTTATACAAGCTCAGCTCTGTCCTACTTTGAGGGAAATCAAGAGAAAGCTTCAGGCTGGGGCTGCAGAATACAATGCAGCAACCTGATCCTATGTAATATTTTTTCCTCAAGAAGTGTGGAATGCAACTTCCTACAATAATTTACAGATTTTCACTACCATAGATACCCTTGGCTTGGTACAGAACAAAAGCACATTCCTGATTTTACAAACATTGTTTATCCAAATGCAAACAAGGCTGCTGTCAGAAAGGTTCAGTCATGTTCATGCCAACACAAAGAATAATTCAATATTAGCATAATAAACTTTCAACAGCTGATTTTCTGTAGGTGAGAAAAAAAAGCAATAGAAAGAATAAAGGGGAAAAAAAAAGGCAGTAAGAGAGATGTATGGGTGTAAGTGCCACCTACCAGTGTGCTCCTTTACAACACTGCTGCACACCAGCCAACTGCAGCAACCTGAAATCTCTCTGAAATCTTGCATTTCTAGAGAGAAGAGCCTAAACTGACTCCAGTAACCTTTCCAAAAGGAAATAAAAATGTGAATGTGGAGTGTGGGGATGCTTTTTAATTTAATTTGAAACTCTCCATGAGGGCATCCTGTCAAACAAATATTGAACACACAGACTTAAGCATCCATTATCCTGTCCTCACATCACTGAATGAAGATTCTGGGAGGAGGCATCTTAGTCTGTGATAGGACACAGTTCACTTAAGAGCTTCCCACAACTTTTCACAGCGTGACCAAAGGTCACTGACTGTTGTCTGAACTCTGGTTTCCAACCCCAATTTTTTGCACAACACTCACACTTGGTGAACACTGCAACAAAAGCAAAGAACCTCAGAGTTCCCTGTGGGAATGGTTTACTGTGAGTGGACACAATCCTTCCTAATCCCCAAAATAGGCAGCCAGACACATTTACAGCTTCATAACAGAACAATTCCCACACAGCAAAGAAGAGGCAGCAACAGAAACGAGGCATTTGGAAATCCAAGAGAAAAATCCCAATTGGTAGGGCAAGGAGGGAACACTGGTATTTCCATGCATCTTTTTTCTCCATGTCTGTCCCTTCCTCAGCTCTGTGCCACATTCCCCATGGTCCCTCCAGACCCTCCCATCACTCTGCTCAACGTGATGCTCACAGGACTGTCAGTCAACAGTTGTCTGAACATACAGAAAGCTCTAAAAACTGGATTCTGTGGATGCTGCACCTGGGAGGCCATGGATGAGCACAGGCAGAACATACACTAACTCACACTCATTTAGGAGGTTTTGGGGACACAAAAGGAACATTTATTATGACAATGAACTCCTGAGAGACAGGAGCAGAAGCACTGCAAACCACAGGTCTAAAAGGGGTTCTGGTTAAAACACAAACAGAACAAAATACACCTCAAGAGAGCCTGAGTCCCTGAACACCCTCATTTGATGGCCATCACATCTGGTCACAACTGCACTTTCACAGAAAATCAGGAATGGCACATTTTGCAGCACTGCAGTACCAGCAAATATGACCTTCACAGCCACATCAGACTGTGCTCAAAGAGTTATCAGACAAGGAATTACACAGAGCAGAAGGAATTCCTGTTTGGAGGTCAGCAGACAAGCTCCCTGCTGCACATGGCAGTGATCTTCACAGCTGTGTTCACAACAGTAACTCCCAGCATTCCTACACTTAGGATTTCAAAAAGAATATTTAGTCCATCCATTATCCTGAAGCAGAACAAGTTAACACCTTTAAAGTTACTTCAAAAGGTCACATTACAGAGGTTTTAGTAGGATCAGATGAACTAGACAATTTTCTTCCCTAGAATCTGCTGAGAGCTAGCAGTCCTACATATTGTTCAAAGACTGTCAGAAAGAAGAACCAAGAGGAACCCAAACTTGTTTCTAAAGAGTGAAGCCTCAGCTCTGATTTTGGAGGGCTGCTGCTTCCTTTATTCTTCACTAGTTAGACACAGAAAACTAGGACCATGCTTGAACTAAGATTTATGGAACCATTAATATAATTTAAAAAAAAAAAAAACAACAACAGCATATGTGACCTTATATAAGCCTGGAAACAGCAATTCTGTTTCATCAGCTTCAGAGTTCAGTGTAAAGTAACACTGGGTGAGCTCCTGCCTGGTGAACACAGATTTTTATATTTATATCCACTACCTGAAGGAAGATACACACGAATCCCTCTTCTCACTTTTCTCCCTGTGGAGGACAATTATGACCATAGTTTTATACCACAGTAAAACTTGGCATGGCAAGGCAGTAATGTTCTCTGAAAACCTAATACACACTCTTCGGAAACACAAGGCAGGAGAGACAATGCTTTAAAAAAAAAATAGTATAGAGAAATACAAGATATTATTAATAACTGGGCTGCAAATAAAGTATTTTCATAAGGTAAGATCCGGGATCTCAATAAACATAATACTTTATATGATAATGGCCCATTTGATGTAATAAATCAAAAAGCAACTGGAGTGCAGAATGATTCGGCTTAATAAAAGAAAAAAAAATCATACTATGATGCAAATTTTCTTATGGATGCCAAAAATATGGGTATTTTGGAATGGCTCCATGACTGTCTGTATATGAGATATGCAAATATATATACACACACATTAGGGTAGAGTGGGAGTACTACCTAGTGAACGTAAGGACTGTCGGGCAGGCTAGATGGCTCTAGCAGTTGCCTATTGTCCTCCCCTCTGTGCCTGCCTTCAGCAAAGTCACCTGCTGAGCTGACTGAACCCTTATCTTCTTCCATCTAGAAGGACAGAAAAGCAACAAATCTTATAAAGCACCACGCTGGCATTGCTTTAAAACAGTTACCATTGGCATATGAACTTGCAATTCCCAGATCTGCTCTCGAGAGAACAAGGCATGTTTACAAGGTAAAGAGGCAATTTCTTCCCCTTAATCCGTGGATCGAACGCGGTTTGTCAGCGCACAAATATCAGAAGCGTTTGGTCTCTTTGTGCACCACAGAGTACGAAAGGGGGAAACCCAACAAATTTGAAATCTGTTTCAAATTTTCAGATTTTGCACTTTTATATGTTTTCCCCCTTCTAACAGAAAGGACCATTTCAGTTTGTTTGCCTTATTACAGGTTATTTTACGTGCCACAAGACGGACATTTCAACTCAGAGTTAATCAGACTGAGATATGCAGTTGGGACTTTGTGGAACAGGAAATGTATTTAATCCTGTACACCAAGTTAGGAGCACTGCAGCATATCTTACCGAGCCCAGGTCTTGCTGCCAACATCTGATGCCACATGGACATTTCAGAAAATATATGAAATGATTATTACTATTCCACAGCTAAGGTACAACTTGCTCCCTACTGTAAAGCTCAGTCTTTAACCCTTAATATACTGTATAACAAAATCCCAAACAATTAGCTTTAAAATTTTAAAATATAAGAATATTCACATCTAACAACTTGCCTGGCACTTGTTTTCAACACTTCTCTAGTTTTTCTACTCTTTGTCTCTTTGAATCAAATAAACCTACAAATGCCAAATTATTTCAGTATTTCAAAGTCATCAGACAAAAGTATCTTCAGGTAAGTAATATGTGCACTTTTGTGACTGAAGACAAATACAAATGGTACATTTTTTTCTCATTTATCCCCTTCTCCTGTGATAGATTCTATGGATTAGCTAATGGATCAGCACAAAAGTATGCTAACAAAATGTACAGACCTGTAAAGGAAGAGATTACCCCTGATCAAATTTTAGTATATTAAGGTGTCCTAGTACACCTCACTAGTGTGCTTACACTTGGATAGTCCTCTTGGGAATTTCATGTTCCTTACAGAAAACATGCTGTAAAAGGAACAGAGACCTGTCTGCTCTCAACTTGACAGAGTTGGGCTGGGTCAGATCTGAAAGCTGTCAGGAGGAGAATCCTATGAAACAGGAACTAGAGTTAAAAATACAAACAAGTAATGAAGAGCTTAAAGCCAGGGCCAGGAGCCTGGAGTTCTGGAGACAGAGCAGATCTGGACAGAGATGAAGGGAAAACCAGGCAACAACAGACTCATGGGCCTGTAGATGGGGAATGAACAGGGCTTGGCTGTGATGAGGCACATGCTACAGTCAGAGTCCCGGATATACCATTATGCACTGACAGCCTTCTCTGTAAATTGACCCCTTTCTTGTGTTTGACATTTCCCTGTAGCTCATAACACACAGTCCAGAGGTAAAAACTCTATAAACACAATTAATCCCATCAGCAAGCAGAAGTAAAACATCTGTCCGAGCAACACTTCTCACATGTGGCTTAAGATTTCTGACAGTTCTTATAAAGCAAAGAGACATGTAGACATACATGCAGACACAAAACTTTATTTACAAATAAAAAAATGGAATGAGATACAATGGGGCCCAGTAAGTCCCCTAAGATACATATTTCACACATTCTAAGAACAGGAGAGACAGCTATGGAGGAAAGCAGTGCTCAGCCAGACTCCAGCTGAGGAAAACACCTGCACCTGAGCTCTGCTGCCTCATTTCCTTTTCATCCCAAGTTACAAAAGTGATAATAAAGTTCAGAGGCAAAAGCTTAACACACAAGACTGCAATTCTGACTCACAGGAATCACATGGACACTTAGAAGACTCCCTTCAAAACTTCTAACTCTACATCACAAATGTATTCAATACAAACTTGAACATTTTTTGCACACTGTGAAGCCTACAGACATAAAAAAAAATATTATAACATCATACTTGTCTTTTAATTTGCATTCATAAAGGGATTTTTTTTTTGTATCTCAACAGAACAGTAAGCACATTGGCAGAACAAGGCGTTAACTCAGTTTAACCTGGAGTTATGGTCCTTTTGAGGATTTTAATACATATTTACAAACAGAAAACTGCCAAAGTCTGTTCATCAACCCACATGCATTCTGCATCACAAAGGATGCGATTACTGGGTAGGCACATACAAATGAGGTGTGACAGATTAGCTGCTTATAGCCACATATTCACTGAGCAGCTGTTTTGTTTCCTGCTCCTACAGTTTTCCTTGCTTTTTCTGCCCTACTGCTTCAGGAAAATAGCTGCCCTTGACACCACAGAAACTAACCCGTGGTCTTCATTCTAAATAGGCTTTATTTAGTATAGTGAAGTGAGCAGTTTCTGTCTACTAACTGATCTTCCTTATTTACTATTTTAGGTAAGGATCCACAGGATTACTTCTGAACTTTGTCCAAAGACAGAATAAAGAACTAGAGAAACTCAAATCCTTTTTGTTTCTTGTTGCACTTTACACGTTCAGTTCCATAGTATAAGGCACTCAGTGCTTGTATTTCAGGTATTATTAGATGCTCAAGTGTAAAAATTCTGACATACAAGAGAACTGGATTTGTATAATCATTTGTTACTCACAGACAAAACAAATTTCCCATTTTTTTTCAACCCCTTCCCTAAGTGTAATATGAAGAAAATCATCTCAAGTTAGCAAGAATTCTCCTGGTTTTAGCCTTATAGTAACTACAGGGCTGCACTCCTAGACAGCTTTATTTTTCTTTGACTATCCCCAGTTGCATAACCCTTAAAATGTGTTTAGGTTTGGGAAGTTTAACAGAATCTTCTGTTACAAAACCTTTGGTGTAGATATGATGCGCCATGTAATTCACTCTAATAATTCACTGAGAAAACAGAGACTTACTGGAAATATATTTGTCCAAAGTAACATATTTAGATGACGCTGATAAACCAAGAAATTTAAAAGCTAACTTGTAAAGGCTTTTGCAGAGCAATTCTCCAATGCAATTATTAAGTTTACTAGTGTTAAATCATTTACTAACATACAGCACTCTGCCTGTTTTAATAGTGCTGAATTAAAAACAAAACCAAACTAAACCACCCCACCACTACCTCCCTGGGTGTTTGGAAATCCAAGGTGATGTGTTTCAGAGTGGGGCCACTAACAGCCAAACACAATGGCCATTTCAAGTTTTGCCTTGTAAAGATGTAGTGCACTCTCAGAGGAAATACAAAACTCTTCTCTTTTGGTTAAATAAACGGCAATTAAGTCCCAAAAATGTAGGTTGGTTGGTTCTTCTAGCACCTATTTGCACATTTTTAACAACAAAGTCATCTTAAAAAATATTTAAAAGTAATCAGATCTTTGCCTTAATTCTTGCTGTGGAATATAGAAGTAGATAATGATGGGAGCAAACAGGTTGAGACATTGCTGATGCATATGAATGCTTAAGTCTTACAAAAGAGAATCAGTATTTGACAGCATTTCATGTGCTGAAGTCGGTGCATTTGAAGAGTTTCAGAATCACGTTTTACCTACCCAGACACATGTACACTTTGATCTTTTTTTGAATAATTTTCTGGGACTTTGTAGCCAAATACCTTTAGGAATATGTATCTACACACATTGAAAACAAACAACACTCACTTTATAGCTGCACAAAACAAACACAAAAAGCCTTAGCTGCACAAGGGTATGTAAGCACCCAAGCTTAAAACATTTTCCGCTCTTTCAACACAACTGAAAAGCAAATTAAAATGGACAAATAACTCGCAAGAAACTGCTGCCTGAAATACATGGATTTTCCTGTCACGGCCTCATGAAGCTGAAATTATCCAGCATGCAAAAAGCACTGTTAATTTTTACCATAAAGAAATCAAAAGCATTATAACCATGCTAGAAACTATGATTATTTAACAATGGATGCATGAACAGCTAGATCTGTATTCTGAAAGTTGAGCATCATGCTAGGGATGTTTTTTCCTACAAAGAAAAAGCACGTCCAACACATGCTACTTAGGAGAAGCATTTGGCTCAAAAAACACGGAGCAAAGCCAAGAAATAACCAAACTGAATGTTTCTGCACTACAGGTATTGCCCTCTCAACCCACTAATATTCATGCCTCTTCCCATCTCTCTCAGCACTGGTTAGTTCACCTTCAGCATGCATAAGAGTTGATGAGGAACTGTCCCTCCTACTCTACCTAATTTTGCTCAGCTGATTCCTTGCCCTGGACAATGGCTGCAGTGCGATGAACTCGTCACTTAAAGCAACTCTGTTGGAGTACATCTACAATTGGACAGAGAAGGGATGGAACATACATGTCAGTAAGTAGCAGCAGTAATTTTCTAAGAGAAAGACACAGGACAACACATTGTTATTTAAGTGGAATACACATCATATACAGAACACAAGCCTGGTACCTTCAAGACAGCTCCTGGGATAATCACAGCCAGTTACTGTTTGGTAGGACCAATCTTAATGTACTTGTGCTTTCAATACTGAGAAAAAAGGCCTATACACCTCTACATCTGTGCTTTATTCTGCATTACTTTCTTCCCTCAATAGTGCTGTGATTTATATTTACCCAAAGATTTATATTTTGATTCACATTTACCTTGCTGTCCATTTCCTCCTATATGATTCTGTAACAGACCTACAGTGAGAAATTGCCCATAAGCTACTTTAGGGCAACTGACCTCAGACAAACACAAGATGGCTTTTCTTTAGGTCAGCAAAAGCCCCTTGGAACACAGCAAAAATAAAGTAACACATTCACCTTAAGTGCATTAGGGAAGGTAAAGTTAACAAAATTCATCCCTCTGTAACAATCAACTCATACTTGCCTATCAAATTTTTAATATGCTTATTTCCCAAAATGAAAGGGCGAGATATAAGTTGCTGTGACAAAACAACATTTACATTTAAAAGTTTATCAGGTGTTTCTCATATCAGTTACAATTCTTCGCTTTGTTATTAATAACTTTGCTACAGGTAACATCTGACTGATCAGACAGACTGACTGTTGATGCTATGACCTTATACTAACAAAAAGATAAAATCAGGTTCCTTATATATTAAGTAGGGTAAGGCAGGTGCCTACAGATACAGTGAATTCAGAGCAGTAACTCAGGTAAGATGCACAACTAACATGTTCTTGGAGTCTGAAAAATTAAAACAACAGAGGCAAGTGTTTCATTTTCAGCTGAGGAACCTGTGTTTGCAGAGTGCTCCTGGGAAGAGTTTAGAATTTAAATGATGGCAGTCAGAAACAAATAATTGAAATAGCTGCAATTTAAAACCAAGTGACTAGTTCAATAACAATTTATCTCACCATGATAAAAATGTAGTAACCGTAAACTTTTTCTTTCCCCCAATATGAAAATATACTAATTCAGTCCTGCAATTTAAAATAATTAAAAATATTCAGCTAGACACAGGATCCATCTTCACTATGAAAAACAGCATTTAAGAAAGCAATATAAAAGTTTCATATTTACTCTTTTAATGACTCTTTTAGTTGCTCTTTGATGACTTCCACAGAAGTCATCAGCATTAGTCAGCACCCCTTGCATTTGGGACAAAGACATTCTCCAAACCCTTTCTATCTCAAAGTTAGAGTCTCTTCCTCTGCTTTGAAACTGAAATAAAAATATTTACTAGAAATTTTAAACACATATAATGAAGAAGCACAAATGTTGTCAAGAAGGGAAAGAATGCTAAGTTGATCATCTGCTCCTCTTCACTTATTTGTACTTTCTCACTTCAAGAATAGAAAATGAAATTCAGTGGAGCTGACTGTCCCATTAAAAGTCAGAGAGGGAAAATCTCAAAAGATTAAACCTTGAGAAGGGAACAAAGAGGTGTTTTCTTGTCATAAATACATTTTTAGCTATGATTTCACTATCACACACACACACAGAGAAATTAGTGGATGGCTTCTGAAGAATTTCTGGTCAAATCAGATTGCAGCATCAGGAATTAAGAGTTTTCAGAAAAAAAGACAGTATTTTGGTAAACATACACCCTACTGCTGACTCTGTCAAATGCAATGTAGAAAGGGAGTAAGAAAAAAACCAAACAAAGAAACCCCCAACCGACCAAACCTAATGGAGATGCACAAAGCAAAATCCCCATGGCTAGGAATCAAGCTATAGCCACAGGAAAGATGTTGGACATTCATCAAGATTCCTTTTTAAAAATAAGAAGTCCTACTGTGTCCTTGACAACACAACTGCAATGGAAGTAAACTGAACCTAGAAATTCTTTAGAATTGATTCAGAAAGCAAAAGAATGCAGCAAGAAGTATAGGGATAAAGGCAGGGGAAAATCGTGGCTTTTTGGGTTTTAACTCAAGCACTTCAGGAACATGAGAAACCTCAACAACCACACCGATACAAAGCCAAACAGCAACAGCTGATGCACAGGAAGGAAGGAAAAGGAAGTGTTTGATAAATATTGCCACTAGTTTTTCAAGAAGAAAAGACAGGTAAGTATCATTACCTATTGCATTTTTCCTAAATCAAGACCCTTTAATCCAAGAAGTGCAATAGTGAGCAATCCAGAGTCTGATCAAGCCTAACTCAAAAGTCTTCTGAAAGCTAGTGGTTACTTAACTTGACTTTTAGCTACTAAATTCCGAGACAGAAAAAAGCAGCTAATATTCCAGTTTTGAAAAGGGAATAATGGGATATTTTGGACAGCAATAGGCTTGTCAGGATAATGTTGATCTGAGGCAAAGTAAGAGAATGTCTCACATGGATTTTTTTTTAAACACACAAATTAGAAGTGTAATATAATTTAAGTAAATCAACATGCACTTACATCAAAGTAATTACAAGGTTAGATGCTAAAGATAACAGCACTGATGTAATGCAGTCGGGCTTCCGCATGGCACAGAGCTCAGAGTAATTTGGATTAAGCAACTAGGACACCACAAAATCAATCTGGCACACAGATGGACTAAAAGCTGCTGAGAGGTTTCAGACCATAGCTGTGTATGGAATATCTTTGTCAATTGGGTTCTTCATTCACTGTCACTGTTTTTTGGCCCTGTGCTGTTTGACCTCTCATCAACGACCTGAAAGAAACCAACAGCAGCACTTGCAGATGAGTAGAAGATGCAGAAGATAACAGGTTATTGATGTATATTATTCTGTAAACTGAATACAGCTGGGGGATTCACTATTTCCATACTTGGCACTGATGTCTGCTGTGCTGGAATATGCTGTCCACTGGCGAAATCCAAAAATCAAGATGAGGTTGAGAATGTTGAAGATTACAGGAGAAATACAAGAATCATGAAAAGAATGTAAAACAACCTTTTTGACAAAAGATGCAGGTCCAGTCTACCTATTAGTGTGAAAATGAACAAACCTAACTGATCACAAACTAACCTTGATCACGAATCTAACTGTGAATAAACAAAACACTGTAACAGAAGGCTTCTCAGTTTAGCAGAAAAGGTCTAAAAAGATGAGATGGTGGAAACTGAAACCAGAGAGAGAGTCACTATGAGGACAATGGGTCAGGATGACTTCTCCCTAACTGTCACTAAAAAGAAGACAACAGTCAGAGATGAGATATTTACCTAAAAGACAGCCTAATTTCAACAGAATGATTTAAAGGATTCTTTGTAGCCCATGTCTGGCAAAAGAGAGATTCTATTATCACAGCACATCTCTAGACCTTGTCTATGAACCTGTGGAACTGCCACATGGGTAATTAGCTTTAATTACAGGATCAACAATCAAATATATAGCATATAATAGGATCGAGATTTAAGAAATACTAATTAAAAAAATCCTACTAAAGTAATTTTTAAAATTGTTTCCATCACATTTTAAGAACTATTCCATACTAATTACAGTTGCAGCTTCTAATACCTAGACAAAAATGAGAATAAGTTACTGTCTTTAACACAGGACAAATATGTGCAGTATGATCCTCTCATACAGCTGCAAGTTGAGATGTAAAAGACTGAGTGATCTCTTCATATATAATTCTGTTCTTCTTATTATCAAATACTTAAACATAAACATTACTGCCTTGTAAAATGGTGTCCTCACTTTTGTAATTTTAAATTAACAACTGTATTCTGAAATGAGAACACTTCTATGCATTAAACACAACAGCAGTGTAAGAGGATAACTATTGGTCAAGTTGGATACAAAAGCATAGGATTACCTGAGCTTTTTCAGTACTTGTTGGTTGCAGATGTCTGTACAGCACTTTCTTCACAACATCAATAAACAAACAAGCAACTACTATGAGGATTATGGCAAACCAAGCAGAACCACTTGACAACAGTTGAACAAATACAAAGTACATGTCCTGGGTATGTAAAAATGGCCTGAAAAGTTAAAAGAAGTGGCAGTTACTAAAAGGAACTTTAGAAACAAAAGTACAGCACAGGCTGTCTCAAGTGTATCTATTTCACATCAGGCATTGAGTCTCTCAGGATGCAGAGTCACAACTGATGGTGCCCATGTACAAGTCCAGCAACATGTTGGACCTGACCTGCAAAGAAACTCTGGGGAGGGAGGGTACTTAACTTTGGAGGGAAAGGTTCTGATTTAGTTTTAAATTGTGTTGCAGGAAATAAACCATCATCCTATCCCCCCAGGACCTCAAAAATACAAAGCAAAATACCCCCCTTCACTGATTCAAACCCAGCATCTTCATTTCTGTAGCAAATATTTACCTATTACATAGCATCTTTGGGAACCTATCTACTTCTTATGAGCAAAAATGCCTTCATAGTCACAGGCTGACAGAGACAAGCCCTGTCTGTCCTTGAGCACAGGACAATGTAGCAGCACTGCTCAAATTTTTAAAAGGATCACCAAAAGAAAGTGGCTGCTCTAGGTTTAATTTTTTTTTTTTTTTAAAACCTGTCATAAAATTCAGAGTATGATGGTACAAGATAATCCTACAGTGTTTTTTCATAGTTTCATTGATCTTATGTGCTATAGAAAGGGGGGAAAAAGAATCACTCACCAGATAATTCCCCCATAAAACAAGGAGAATATGAAATAAAATACAATGGATCCCCAAGTAACAAAATGGTTTATCCATGTCCAGAAGTGAGTTTCTAGTGCCATCTGAAACAGAGATAATGTCAGTGAGCTTCCTTTTTTCACCAACTTCACAGAAAATTATAAATACCAGTATGAACATACTTATGAACTTCGAGCCCAAACACTAAACATTGTTGTGACACACAAAAACTAGAGAAACATTTCAACCACCATTGAAACTAAATGTAAAAGTCACTTATCTGGAACTCCCAAGAATCAATTACTTCTGTATAACTTTTGAATCAATTTTAAATTATTGCTTTATTACATATTTGCCTATATTTCCAAACACAGAGAGTAGTCTGTGCAATATCATACCTTCATTGTGACAGTTATAACCATAACGGTGAAGACCAAAGTACCAAATGTCCAGTTTCCAAACATCTAAGAAAAGGGCAAGGAAAAATCATGGAAGATAAAAAAATCAGTTAAGAGCGTTCACAGTAAGTAAGTTAAGATTCTTCTCAAGTCAACTACACTAAAGAAATTAGTCTGTGGACATAAGCTTGTGACAAGTAATCATCATGAAAAAGCAAGGAGGATACAACACAAACTACTAGGAAAATAATACAGCTTATGATAAGAGCAAAATTAACAACCCAGAAGTCATCTTTCTTACTGGTTCAAAATAAATCACCACAAAGGCTACATGAAATATGAAAAAAGTTCAAAATAGTAATATGAAATGACAGGAAGATGAAGATATCAATTTGATCAGTTTTGATAAGCATCCAATAGAAAGGAAATACTGGGTGGAAGGTATTCATTTTCACATAAGTGCAAAACACTTTTGAGTTTAAACATTTTCAGATAATTTCCAACATGCAGCATCACCTGAAGGTTCACTTTTTACCCCAAGCACAATTTTACAATTCAAAAATAATGGTGCCATTGCATTTTACAAAGAAAATTGTAAGGAAAAGACACTTTGTTTCAAGGCTAATAAACCCAAAAATAAGCTTACATTCTAAAACACTTAATCTGTCACTTTTGTATTCTCCTGTGCATGAAAATTAAACTATCAAAACTCTGAACAAGGTCTACAACAATAAAATCTCAGCTCTGACAACCAAGCAGGGATGCTGAGGTTGTATCTATCTACACACATGCTGCTCACACAGAGCTGCCACTCTACACCAGGTCCAACTGCTCTGCTCCTGGAAGCAGGCTGGGTGCTGAAACAGAAAATGTTGCTATTTTGCAGCTATTTTTGCCACTGACAAACTGAACAACGACCAAATCCTCAACTTTGTATTTCCTGGTAGCAGATTAAGCAAGCAAGGAGGAAGGTACCACATGCAGACAGGCAGAGTCATCCTACAGTTGATGTCTCAGTACGGCACAGAGGCGCGGAACTGGGATTCACACAGTTGTAGTTCTTGTTACAGAGCTCTGACAGAAAAATCCCAACAGCCTGATGACAGATCTCACAATTGCTTTTCTTGTCTATACACTAAGCACAAAATTGAGGCAGCCATGAGTCTGGATTTACTGATAATTTTAAAGATCTCTGTTACAACACGTCTTCTGAAGCCTTCGATTTACTTGTCATGACGTGCTGGTTGTTAACTGCTGCAATAGTAACCTTAAAAGTGAAATTAAACTGCTCCTGAGTGACCTGTGAAAGAAAGTGTCTTTGCTAACACTGCTCTCAATGGTCACAGAGTTAGAACACAAAACACAAAACGGGTTCTTGCCACCATTTTATTTTTGAACACGTTTACATTGCGGATGCTGCATCCTTTAATCCTACAAAGTAACAGATACAATATTTTGTATCTCCTCCTCTTCTAAACTCTTACCATTTGCCTGTTAGGTTTCAATATCTGACGACATGCACAGCATGAAAAAGGGGGGAGAAAAAAGAACTAAAAGATCAAGTAATTGCACAATGGGTTGAGGTAAGCCTAACAAACACCAGGATTAACAAATTATTTACAGTCTCCTCTATTCTGCTGTGCTCCAAACCACAAACCTGGAATGGAAATGTGAGGCCTTGCACTAACACTACCCTGTATCACAGATTTGCACAGGTGACCACTTCTTGAGGACTTCTTACTCTAGCAGCACACTAGGTTCTCTTGCCCTTAATTTTGGCTTTTTCACTCACAAGTTAAATTTGCAAGAAACTTTAAGCACTGCAGATATCTTACTGCAACACACAGTTCTACCAGTTCCAATAACCACCTTTTAGCAAACACAGAAGGCACAGTAACAAAAAACCCACAGTCTCAGAATTTATCGGAAGTCATATCACATGAGAAGCCAAAGGGCATCTGTCAATTCCCCAAACTAAACAGTTGTTACTAAATACAATGGAGGAAGTCTGTTCCTGCCTTGTGGACATTTACTAAGCAATTCTGAAGTGAGATGCTTTGACAAGTTAAGATGGATGCACCAAGACACACTGATTCATAGTCTAAAATTACCTTGTTAGAAGAGTTCTGAAGGACCTTTACCAATTCACAAGAATTTCAAATCGCTCAGCTTGTAACAAATGGCAAGAGATGACACACTCATACCTCAGCTGGAAGAGACATTTTAGTCTCAGCACAACTATTTTAATGCTCTTATGAAACACCTCAAATGGAATAGGTGCTCCAGCTGCACCACTCCACTGCTCCTCTCTCTGCAGGGATGCTCAGAACCACCAGCTTTCTGATTTTAGTTCTCAAGACAACTCTGTCTACTGCCTGTAGATCACTACATTTTTAACTAAACTTCCTGAGCTCCCTGTCACCAGGTGACCACTGTGAATTCAGCATGATGCTATTTCTGTACCTTGTGCCATAATCTGCAACTCTGCCAAGCACTACATGAGAATCAGCAAGTGCTCCATGCCAATATTAAGAACGGCATAATGAGAAGCAATGTATTTTTCCATTACTACCCAAGTTTTACAAGGGAAAAATCAGTATCTAATTGTTCTAAACTGAGCTAAATAACTCAGAACCAGGGGAAATGAGGAAACAGACTTCTAATGGTTTCATCCAAGCTCTAGGGTTTTTTTCTGAATGATTCTTCCTGTGAACTTTAACATCTTTAAAATAAAGTGTCAAATTAGTATTTGATTATGTCATTAACTTATTGTCTTAAAAACATTTATTGAATAAAAAGTATAACTTAAAAGCAGCTTGCACCACTAAATTTTAAAAAAAATCTGAGTAATAGAATTAAAATAATATATTTTCAGGAGAAGTTTTAAGACTTTTGTCAACTTTCAGATTTAAGCCTAGCTTTGTAACAGCTACTAAAGAGAAGCCATTGCTTGACACTGCAATTAAGTCCAACTCAAAATGAGTTTTGAATGACTGGATATAAATACGCATTTACTGACATGAAATACAATTTTGACAAAAACAGTATACAAAAATCAAACAAAGTCTAAGACAACCATGACACATTTATTATCTTGAAGGGTATGTTCTTCAGGGACATACACTTTCTGACAATGTCTTACAATTTCCACACTAAGAAATGTCATTCTTGAGAGCAGACACTAATATTGACAAAGACTCTTTGATAATTATGTAGTCCATAAAATTTTTTGGACACAAGAGGATTTTTTCAAAAAAATATTAAGAAATATCACCACAAATACAGTGGTATAATAATACTTATGATATTGTACCTGGCCATTTCCCAGCAGAGAAGTGTCTTCTCCCATTAGAAGATACGAGCCGTAAAAGAAAACAAATGCATGAAAGAAGCCCAAGATGGTCCAGTAAAGAAATGGTTTAAACCCCAGATGGGCATTTTTACTGATGTCTCTGCAGAAATAAAACAGATTTTGGATTTCATACTGTCTATTGTATAAACCATGAGTTATTCACATGACATTAGTGCTACTGCTTTGAATAAATGTAACTTTCAACTGCAGCGAGACACATTTAACAAATGCTGACATACGAAAAAAATACATAAATCATGGGCAAAAAAAGGACTCTCAGCTCTCATGATTTGGATCTGATTTAAGCAGTGGTCACCAGCAGCAAGGGTCTCTAATGGGTCAAATTCAGAATAGCACAAACTAGAATTCTTGTCCCTGGAGGTGGAATTGCAAGGGGAAGAAAAAGTCAGATCTCTTGATACTTACCCCCTGTTCTGCTTAAAAGACCTTTACAACAAGAGAAACATCTGAGAGACATCTCTTTTTTACAAAAATAGATGCTTTTTTCCCTCCAAAAAGCACTATGCAGTGCAACATGTTGCCACTGGGAGGACATCTAATTCTACAAGAAATCACTTCTTTTCCCAGTAAAGGATTTTTTGTGGTGATTCCTGTAATCAGGTGTCCTAGTTTTTCATTTGCACGTCTGAGTCATTTTCACCTCCCACACGTAATGGAGGAGAAGGCTGCCAATCATGTGAGCTGACCAAGTGCTCAATGCTCTTACATTGTTAACATGATTGACATAAAAAGATCCTTCTCTTAGAATACTCCTGTTAATTAACATTTAGGATGAAAGCTACGTAGCTGCCGTTCTACCTCATCAAGACAGTTACTAAAAACGCCTAAGTCACAGATAAAATATTGCACAAATGTCTAATAGCAAGTTCAGAACTCTGCAGATGCCACTATTGCTGTACATGATGTGCTACTGTGAGAATTCCTGTAAGATGCACGTACCTGTAGAGCACGGGTTTACTCTGCAATACATGCGGATGCACATGCTGCTCAAAAAGACTGTATATGAGGACAGGCAGGGAAGTGAAACAAATATTGTACAAAGTCAGGTATACACTGTCATAGAGCGTCTGGAAAGGAAAACAGAAATTATTTTGAGTCTTGTAAAGAAAAAAAGGTGCTTATGCACAGTAAGAGCAGCAACAAATCATTACTTATAGGAATTTACTTGTTAGGAAAAAACTGTACTCTCATAACCACCTAGTAACATCGAGCTATCAAATACAGAAAATCAGCTGGATACGTTTTAAGTGTAAATCTGTGCTGCTCCTGTGTAGTTATTTACTAATTTACTTATATATTTATTAGTTATTTAATATTATTAATAATTAGTAATTATTTATCATTAATAATTAATATTAGTACATTTACCGAGATGTAAGGCATCCAATACTTACTTGTTGTGAAAACAAACAGAAGAACTGATATAAAAATTGTGGTGTAATAAAGCACACATTCTGAAATAAAGAAAAGTGAAGGAAATAGTTAATCCTTAGTATATTCCTCACAACTCTAAAAGAAACTGTTAACTCTTACAAGCTGGTAAAAATACACATGAAGACCATAAAGCATTTCAACATTTTACAGGGCCAAGTGAAGCAATATTCTTTACTTGACAGCACATTTTGTTTATTTGTCCTTTGGGACAATGAACCTGGAAAGCATAAACTTAATTATATCTGCCTGATGAACACATGTCACTATGGGAGTCTAAGTAGTATTAAAGGAGAAGAAATCCGATCATTTTCCCCTCAGTTTCTTTTTAAGAATTTCCTTGCAAAACAGATTCCATATTTCATTCAAGAAAGCCATACCCTGCTCACAAGAGCTTGTTGCATGGGAGCAGACAAAGCAGAAACCAAAACCCAACAACATAATGTTGCCTTTAAAGGAAAGGGAACAACTGAAAAGAAAAAGTGGCGCGAACGCGTTTTTCTGTGAACTCCACTGGCACTCTTGGAAAACTCACCTTATAAAAAAAGTACTGTACAAGGGTTGCTATTCTAATATAGTAAAAGTGCCCATGAACAAAAAGCAACTTGGAGAGGAATTTAAACCGAGCTATTGCATAGTCACTGTTCCTTACAGCTTGCCTTCCTTCCTTGCCCATGATTCCTGTGATGTTTGGGAAACAAAACAGAAAACAGGTTAAGTATTACAAAAATTGAAGTTTAAAAACCCCAACAATGTACATCTGAAGCTACAGTTCTGTTTTCCTGCACTTCAACATCATAAAGACTTAAGCAACTTTGCTGCAATAGAAGGTATTGCTTCTCCCACTTACAACTAAGGGAAACTGCTCATTTGGTGCTGATTCAAATTAAAAAAGCCTTTATTGCTTCAGACAGAAGAAAGTTACCTATGCCAACATGTGCTTCTTGTATCATGCTCACATCATTAGCACCATCACCGATTGCTAATGTTATGGGTTTCTCTGGAGACGTTTTTAACAGTCGCACTACCTGAAAAGAAAAAATTAAACATTTTAGATTAGACAGTCTACCCACAAACCATGTCACCAATTCCCAAGTATCTTACTAGTTCCCTACCTGTAAATATAATTAATACATTTTATGAGCATGGATGCTTGGGTAAAAAACATCTTTGGGATATCACAAGCACAAATTCATTCCTTCTTTAGAAAAGCAGCTCGTTTGGGCACAAGACTTATTTAAGTATTATGCCCGTCTTGAACTTGTTCTTCTGTTCTTATTTCAATATTCGGTTACATTGCTTAATTTGCTGCTTTATCATATGAAACAGTCAAGTGAAAGTTGGAACTGAAAATTTACTTATGGAGTAATACAGATTTAATGCTCTTTACTAGATGTGCCTAGATTCTTCATATTTGTAGTTAATGGAACTAATCCAGGTAAAATGCAGTAGCTAAAAGATCAATATGCTGTTATTAAAGAAAACAGATTCTTTTTAAAGCAACTTCATTATCACCAAGGGGTATTCTCAGTTGGAAAAGACACAGAAGAAGATAGGACAGAACAAGGAAAAGAACTGTTGACATACAAGGCTGTAAGATAATCAGAAAGAGGAGCAGTGAGACCCTGCTCTTTGCAGAAAGGAATCGGATGTTTAAGTAAATGCCAACACTATTCTAAATACAGAAGAGATAGTTAGATGAGGCTTTTGGTTAAGAATTAGTAGTTCATTAACCTCCCAGAGAGCTCTAGCTTAAGGCAGAAGCTTCACTAATTCAGTTGTAAACAGGCTGCAGAGATAAAGGTAGGAATGCAGGTCAAGAGGCTTTCCAAAAACAAGAAAATAAACACATATGAAAAAACGTTTCCCCCCTGAAGTTCCAGAAAGTCCAAGGTGGAAATATCAACAGAGAAACATTGGTACGAGGTAAGTAGACACAAAAACCTGTATTGGAATAATTGAGTTGTAGTTGGCAGTGACAGGGCACTGATTCACAGGAGCAGGAACTCACTTCACATGAGGAACGGAACAGTGACTAAATACAGTCCACAGCTCAGAGAAATCCATCTGACTGTGGGAATACATTTCCTAATTGCAGGTATTAATATGCAAGCTTAAAGGTTCCCCATTTTTAAGAGGTAATTACTTCAAGTACATTTAGCATTAGACCCTAGCAAGCAGCCCTACAGAAGTAACAAGGCTGCAGTGTGTCACCCACATCAGTCCTCCTGAGATCCCCAAGGCTGGGGTAATTCAGACAGACAAACATCTATGTGAAAAGGTCAAGACAAATCCCCTGGCAAATTTTAACAGCAGCAATCAGCAGCAGCTCTGAATGACTGACATGATGATGTTTAAAAAGGTTTTCGAGCTATAGAACATGCCAAAATTAGTAGTGAGACTGCCAGCCATCTATTAACACGCATTAAAGTTAGTAAAAGATGCAGGGAATATTAAGCTGAGTTCCAGCTTAACCTTGGAATCAGTCTCACAAAAAGGATGCCTACAGCAAAAGATCATGTGCAAGGCTAGACTAAACTGCCCTGGACTTCCTTGCTTACCCTTCACGTTGTATGGCATTTGTCTCAGTGATTTATATACTTCAATGTTTAAAATTAAAATGTCACTGCCATCAAAATGACATTTTACTGTACTTCATGAGGAAAGACGGGAAATAATCTCCATTATCTGCTGGACAGGATAGGAATTATGGGAAGCAATACAAAGCATTATAAATCAAGTTAAATGACAAAATAAGAACAAGGACACAACAATGGCAAATAACTGTACCTTAAAGAGAGGGGATGGCAAAAATTTCAGCTAAAAGGATGGACAGAAGTGGACAAATGAAACAAACTGTTTTACTCATAGTAGTTACAATTTGCTTTTAACATTTTATTGAAACTAATATTATACCAGCTGAAGAGTTCTATACTGAAGGGATTCTAAAGACTGCATTAGAACTCTGATTAATTGTTGGAAGCAGGAAGAGTGACCTCAAAACAGGTCACTCGTGCTATAGTAAAACAGCCTGCCCTCTTTTGCACATCTAGTACCTCATATAAGGATTTCCTACTGCTTTAAGGTGAAGAGATGTCTTTTCCCAAAGAGAGAAAATTTCAAAAGAAAAGAATAAATATTCCAGTCCTTTAGAGCTTAGCTTTCCAGACTGAAAAAAAATAAATCACAAAATCTAAATTTTAATTCCATCCACCTTGTATTTGAGTAAAATTAAGTACATGTGAAGGAAAAATGGTCTTAGAAGAGCAGGAAGGAAAACCTCCCCTGGACACTAGGCCTCTGCTTCTCTTCCCTTTTACTTTATCCTCAAACTTGGGTATATTTTTTAAAATACTCAGAGAAGCACACTTCTTCCTTACAGGTCTGTGAACTTTCGATTTGGCTTTTTTCCTGGAGAAGTGATGTAGCAGGCAAGGCTAAAGCATGCAGGTGGCCAGGACAGCTGCTGCCTTACACAACACTCAAGAGGCAGATTTAAGATGAGCCTTTTGCTTGCACGGTGGCAGGATTTTGACTTTTCCATCCACTCACAAATTTTCAAACACACATGTAAGAAACTTCTGAGCAAACTACTCCAGATCAACTGAATTTAACAAGGATTCAGAAGTCAGGCAAACAAACAAAGCAGTTTCAGAAATCCTTGCCTCCTCAAAGCATGGTAAAAGTACTTTAAAGGCACTCCTGATTATATTTGCACTAACCTTTGCTTTCTGAAGGGGTGCCATGCGACAGCACAACACTGCAGAACAGTTTTTGCAAACTTCCATGAACAGTTTTTCATGTTCCCTGAGTGCAAGAGAGAGGCTGGTCCCATCCACAACCAGTCCATGTTGGATAACATGGTCTTCCTTTATTCTATTCAGGGACAAAAATGTTAACTTTGTACCGGTGTCATAGAAAAATTTTAATTTGCCATAAACTCTGTTGTTGGCCAGACAGTAAGCAAAGAACTTAATCTGTTAGACAGACTGCTTCTTCAAGTCTGTTATTAATAATTTTTCTAAAAAGGCAACTTAATTTATTTGGCACATTCATAAAAGAGATTGTCATAAAATATGCAAATGAAAGAAAACCAATCTAAGATCATCACTGAGATAGCGACATCTCAGGTACTTTACCTCTTGGCAAGTTGCCTCAGTTGTTCTGCACAGGTACTGTCTGACTTGTGCTGCACAAGCTCAAGGATGTTCATGGTTCTGTGGAAGTGTCCACAGGACAAACTGACACTAACAGCTGTCTCATGCTTGTCTCCAGTGAGCACCCACACTTTGATACCAGCCAACCTGAGGGCTTCTATAGTTTCTTGGACTTTCTCCTGCAGTCTGGAAACAAGAAAAATCTCAAGTAACCAATAAAACACTTTACTAAGAAAGAGCTCACACTGTAACTCCATGTTACCACTGTAACCCCACTGCCATGACAAGTTAAGACTGCATTTCCAATGTCCCATGTATGGTCAGAGAATCACAGCCTGGCAGATGATACTCTGTTACCAGCAATAAAACAAAGGCCTTGACGAAACAAAAACTGAACTTAATCCTGCTAAGGGATCAAAAATTTGTCGTAAGCATACCTTGATTTAAATTATTTACTGCAACTATTCCATTTCACATACAGGAAATCTCTCCTGATGAAACACAGCTGTACATCATTGTTATTAAGCCAAAATCAGTTGGTACAACTTGTGTTTGGAATGCTCAATCCAAAGAGTGGTAAACATACTAAACAAGAATAGCACAAAACTTTTGATCATAGAGGGAGAGTTTTTCACACGTTATATTTCAGGAGTAAATCCTAAACTCGCTGGGATTGACTGTAGTTAGCAGTAGCTCCATTGCATACTTGTCTTCTACTCCTGTAGCCCCAAGTAATTCCAGATCCCTTTCTATGAAGTTGAACACATCTGCTAATCTTTCCTCCCGTTGTTGTAAGGCAGTCCTGGCCTCATGAAGGCGTTTGCCAATGTCTTGATACTCCTCAGGTGTGAATCTTCTGTAGGCTACGCACAAAGTTCTTAGTCCTTTCTGTGAGAAAATAAAAGACTACATTCAGAGTAGACAAGATTCTGATCTAACAAGAAGGTGTCACCTGTAATTTGTTCACTTCAAGCTACAGGATTTATCCCAGATGAATTTTCTTCTGATCAGCTGGGCAAGCACATACACTTACCAAAGCAAATTCATCCACATGTATCCTTGTTTTGTCTATTTCTCCACTCTTACTACGAGGAAGAATGGAAGATTCTGCTCCTTTTGTGAATAAAAGCTTTTCCCCTACAAAGTAAAATAGAATAGAAATTAAGAATAATGTCATTTAAGAAGTTCTCAGCTGCAGCTTTTACGTTTTCTGATGACCTACCTGAGGGACTCTCCACAATGACACTCATTCGTCTGCGATTTGGATCAAACTCCAACACATGAAGCAATTTGTACCTGTATTTTGTGTTTTAATAAAAGAGGGAAGGGCAAGAAAACATTTTTAGAAATAATTTTCCAAAGACAATTACTTATAAGCAGACTCTTACACCACAGACCTTTCCTCAACGTGTCATTTCAAACTCTAAAAGCAATGCTACCACTGATGAACAACAATCACTGCTATTAGTCATTGTGCAATTCATTGCTTTTCATCACTTTATATATACTTTATTCCATTTTGTAAGAATAAAAGGCTCTACCAATAGGAATAGTTTCCTGAATACTAACTTGATACCTGGAGATTACAAGCAGCTCCTATTTCTTTATCCTTCTGTCATTATTTCAAGTGTAACTTTGAAAACTACATTTTGTTTCTAACATTTGTAAACAATTCACACTGTCAAAAACCAGTGTGTGTGCGCCCTGATAACTGGACTAGTTTTTTATGTTACCACTAGTGCAGAAAATTAATTTTAGACATTCAACTTTGAAGTACTGCCAACTGACACAGATAAAATGGGTAAAAGGAGTTATGACATACTGCAGATATACAGTTATCAATAACATTTCTACTCATTTTGTGAAAGTTTGAAATATATAATTAGATTATGCACAGATGAGAGTGATTCTGGAAACTTCTAGAGCTGAAAGCAAAAACTCTAGGACTTGAATAAGCAGTTCAGTTTTCCAGCTCTACTACAGTCTCAACCTTTGAGGAATGGGAAAAGATACAAACTGTTACAACACACACCTACACAGAGTAACTCACAAAATTCTTGCATCTCAGCTACTATTGGTAAGGAATAAGATGCAAGCTGTCTTGAAGACATCAAGGGAAAAGCATTAAATAGAGCACGCTGTGGAAAGGCAAGGTTTGCTTATGAACAGAGAGGATTAAGAAGAGAACTTTACATTAATCATCACTACTGTTCTGCCCTTCAAAATAAACAAGGAATAAAAAAAAAATACCTCTCTGGTTTTCCAAGGCTTTTTACTTCCATACTGTCTCCACTAATTCCAGTAAATACTACTCCAACCCTAAAAGGAAAAGTAAATAGACATTTAATTTCCACTTTAGACAAAATGTCTATTGATGTAGGAAGGGGAAGGTGGCAGGGAAGAAAAAGAGAGATTCTTATACCCCATTACTGTTCTCTACTTCTAGAGAAAATTAAGAATGCTCACTTTCTGCAGTATTTTATTTGCAACACACTCTGACCACTATGGTTTCCCAAGGATTTCCATAAATATTTTAAATGATGACAGGACCCCTAGGGTTTTGTGTATTTTATATTTCCATGTTTTCCCAGTAAGCTGACAGTGCCAGGCCCTGGGCTTTACAAACGTCCCGAGCAATTTTTACGGCTGCTTTCAGCCTGGATTGCCTGCCCTAGGAAGCAATTCCTGTGTCAGGCACTTGTGGCAGCACAGCTCACCGGCTTGCAGCTTCAACTAAAGCTTTCTCGTCTGGTGAAGAAGCATAATACTCCAACGGGGACGTTATTCCATTGGCATGCCAGGGACCGTCAGCACCATCTGTCTGATCTGCATTGATCTGCACTGTATGACAAAGACAAACTGCCTTCAAGAACAGTTCTTCCTCTTTCACCTGTAAGAAAGAAAAATCTTGGTTTTTAACATTTATGTAACAACCCAGTTTTGAATGCACTCAAAAAAAAATGTTTTTGCTTAAAAATCTGCCAAATATTTCATGTTAAATAATCTCATCTCAACATGTTTAATAAATATTATTTGTTCAGTAGCACTTAATAGCTTCAAACTATTCAGAAATTCCGATTTATGTTGGGTTTTTTTCATGACAGTGGTGCAAGAATATTTCTCTGAAATAAAAACCACTTTCTATCTAGGATGACTAATGGTGGGAAAATCAAAGTCTCTTACCAAACCATGCCTATTTCCATCTGGAGAATCTTCAGAAAATCCCTCTGGAGTTAGTTTACCATTGACCTCTTGGTACTTTATGCCATTAATGGAGCACTCCCGAAACTGCATCTCATTTTCAGTTAATGTACCAGTTTTGTCTGTAAACACATACTCTACCTTTTGTAAAATAAAGACAAAAAAAAACAGACTTGGAATTGCATATACTTGTTAGAGGAAAAAAAATAAAATAATCTCAACTCACACTTTCTACTACACATGTTGTTTTGATCATGTAAGAATTTTAGCTTTTGCCATCACATGTCTAAACCTTATTTTAAAATTAATCAAAGCACAAACAATAAAAAGTCTGCAGTAATGAATTTTAATATTAAAAACTAAGTAAAAAATAGGAAAAAAAAAAAAAAAGAAACTATGTATTTTTTACTCTACCTGTCCCAATTCCTCATTGAGGTCTGAAGTATTTACTTGGGCTCTCTGGTTTGTTTCTTCATGATAGAGGTCAAGATCCCAGCCAATAAAAAAAGATCCAAGAAATTTTTGCATCTCGACAGTCACATAGAGTGAAATAGGTATAATAAAATTGTAAAGTACCAGAAAGGCCAGAAAATCTGAAATAAATCTCAGGATCTAGAAGAGAAAAAGAAAAAATGTGAAGATTACGACAGTCATCAGGTGAAACACAGTGACTTAATTGTGTTTCAATATGCATGAGGAATGACAAATTGAGAGAGCCAGAGAAGACCAAGTCCCACATCCACGAGAGAGACAACACACCCAGTGACAACGCAGGCATTCCCAGGTTGCCCCAGTAACACGCCTTCAGACTGATGCAAAAAGTCTGCCTTAAGCTATGACTGGATGTTTGACTTCTCAAGTTCATTAATCTTTGTCTATCTACTGAATCTGTCAGGAGGGCTGCCAATTAATATTAACTGTCAGGGTGATTCTATTTTCAAAGAGGGTCTGAAAAAAGTAACGTGTTCCCCATTCCAAACAGCATGACTCATTTGGGCTTATCTAAGGAACCATAAATTGTGAAGGCAAACAACTGATATTCCATGCTGTCAGAGGAATCTGCAAGGACTCTGTGTTGTTTTAGGACAGCAGAGTGACAAGAGGGCTCCTGTCTGCTGGCATTCCCCAGTGAGGTGGGTGATCTGGACTACATGACAAGGGACCATGTGGATTTCCATGGCACAGACTTCGTTTATGCCTCTTCAAATCAGTGTTCAACACTTACAATTGAGGCAAACGCCTACATAACAAGATAGAAACTTCTCTTTATTAGGTATGAAAATTTTAACAAACTTTGAAATGCAACACTACAGCCTCTCTGAAGTTTGTTTTTCATCTGGACAACAAACTCACTATCTGAATTGTACTTTGCAAAGACTCTTAACCAACCCCTGAATATTGAGCAAGGGAGATTAGAGATGAGAAAAAACAGGCCATCTCTTTCAACTCTACCAGATATTGGCGTAGAAGAACATTTTAAATAAACGGTAGATAAAAGTAGTGAACACTTTGCAAAGCTAAATAATGTCTGTTCTTCCCAATTAGGGAGTGTTGCTATAATTACTTAACAAAAGGTGTCTGACAAAAACTGAGCAAGTTCTGTGCCTAAAGAGATCTTCCAAACTAAACCAGAAAATACAGACAGAAACCAAGAGCATATTGCCAGGGGAAGTTTAGGTTGCATATTAGGACGAAATTTTTTACAGAGAGAGTAATCAGACATTGGAATGGGCTGCCCAGGGAGGTGGTGGATTTGCTGTCCCTGAAAGTTTTTAAGAGGGAACTTGATGTGGCACTGAGTGCCATGGTCTGGTAACCACAACAGTGTTGGATCAAGGGTTGGACTTGATGATCTCAGAGGTCTTTTCCAACTTGGTTGATCCTATGAATTCATGTGAGAGAAGATATACTGAGAAGAAGTGACAATTACTAAGGTTACCGAGTTTGTTCAAGCACTATCTATGAAATAACAATCTGCACACACAGGACAGATGGACAGGGAAGCACTCCTAATAAGGAGATCAGCATGTTGAGAAATGCAAAGCACATTGTGGAAGTAAACATGTGAGAGAGAAAAACAAAGACACGATAGAAGGAGAATGACACTGCAGAAACACATGGCTCTCTATGTTACTGATGGCAAAGGTAAACGAATGGAAAGGTTGAGGAAATACTTCTCCCTGTTCTGTTCAGAACTGAAAGGGCTCCACAGGGTATTCTACCTTGCATAGCCAAAACTTCTACTTAAGCTCCTGAACTGCTTTGGACAAAGGTACACTCATAGAGAAATCAAAAATTATGCAGAAAGCAGAAAAATACAGAGTGATTAGAAAAAGAGATACTTCTTAGAATTGCAGATTTCAGGAATACTCCAAAGTATCCCTCCAACCTCTACAGAAAGTGAGAAGGGCAAGCAGGAGCTTGAGCAAAATTACAGCCTTGCAAAATTGCCTGAACCATCTCAACATCACAAAACGTACAAAATTCCTGAACTGTGAAATTACTGTAATAGGACACACAAAACAGCCATCCTCCTCCTCTTTTCATTTATGGAATGACAAAAGACACCCTAAAGAACAGTAACAAGAGCACAGAACATCAGAAATATGTCCTAACAAAGCCCAAAATTTTCAAAAAGCTTGGTCTTTCCATAAAGGAAAAAAAAGTCCAACTAGTAAGAGTGTAGAGATATTCCTACACTATAGTGAGGCTACATAGGACTAACACTCTCAAAACCACTGAGAGAGCAGCACAGAGACTTGGATCATGTGATACTTACACCTATATCCAAGAACAGAGACATAATAAATAATACATTCAGTATCTTAATTGAGTGTTCCCCAGATATGCAACTGGGTAAACTACATTACCTTACTGCTATTTCTTTCATGCTCTGTTTTTTCATTGTACCAGGGCTCATCCCATTTCTCTTCAGCTTGCCATGCATACTTTAAAATAGTGCTCAGAATGGCTTCAAAGAGGAGGATTATTAGATAAATAATCAAAAAGGAATTCATGGACCTATAAAGAAGCAAAAAAAGAAAAGCAATTTCAGTTTATTTTACTCAATCTGCTGACACACTGTGGTTACAAGAATTAACTTACTGGACAGCACTTTAAAAAACATACCCTGTGCTTGATATGGATATAAATTTTCTGTGTGACAAGCGAGCAACAGAACGGAAAAGAAATCCTACACCTTACTAAGATAAAATGTCTATATGGCAATATGAGGACTAGATTAAGGTGCAAGAACATCCCAACAGCTGACTTGTGTCACACCTGCTATCCAAGACTTTGGGGGCTGACTTATCCTTCTCTTCTTCCTTGAGTTTCTAGCAAGGCTGTGAAGGCAGTACAACCAACCACCCTGGAAACCCAAGGCTGCACCTTTTCCTTCAGTTAAAAGAGCACTGCCACGTGCACCTGACTATTTAACCCAGGCCATGCTACACCAGGATGCAGTCACATCTGTCTCTATATTCTGTCACATCAGACAGACCATCTTTCCACCCCTTGCTTTGATGACTGAACGTTCACACTCCAGTTCTGTCTGTATGTAGCTATAGAAGAATAATCAATCCCACGCTTGCCTAAGAATTCCAGGAGGCTCTCTCACAGTTTTAGTAACTGCAATAAAGGCAACATAAATCAGAACTTTTCCCTTTCAAGTAAATCATGAAATTCAACATACAAATCTCTACTATAGTAACACCTATCCTGTAACCTTGAGCAAGCTTGGGTATTTCCACTTCATACATGACTAAAGAATCAATAAAGGATGAAATATTAAGAAATTAATTTTATCTTTACAGCTTCCTACCAAAGGCAAGGCAATCAACACACTCTTCCCTTGCCTAAAACCCAGTGAACCCAACAGGGTTTTAAAGTTACAGAGGAAAAACTAAGTTAAAGCTCTATGAATAAGAGAGATATCAGAAAATAAACATACTTTTCTACTGCTGACCGTTTCTGAGATTTACTCTTGTAATTTAATGCCATCTTTGTCTCCATACCTGTATACACTGCAACACCTGGGAAGGAAGGGGGGGAAAGAGTTATACTTTACTTTCTGTATGTATAATTTGCAGAACTTTTCATTTTGAGAGACGCAGGATAAAATCAAAAGGTGGTATTACTTTTGTGTTTACTTCAGTATAGTGATGAGACAGTATTTTGTAGGTATTTGCAATATTCTGCTATAGTAAAACAGTACTACTGAAGTAATTTTAACACCTACTTTAACACTGTTCATTATTATGACTGTACTGCTCAATATGTATTTTATGGAAATCAGAATGGTAAATCTCAGGAGAAAGTCTTGAACAATGGGTAGCAGTAAGAACAGTCATTTATCCATTGAAGTTAAGTTATTCCTTTATCAAACCACTTCAAATATTTTCACAGAATGGAGCTGGAACTTTATATCCTTAGAGATTCTTCAGCATAATATCATTACTTTCATCTATAATCATATCCCCTCAGGTAACAGGCAGCAAGATTATTACAATTTCTTCAGTGCAAGTAGAATTAAAGCGCAGTTCATAATCATGCTTTAAGAAGAGAATACTCTTTAAATATTTAGATGTCTACAAACCAAATATTTCTTTAGTGTTTTTTAATCTTGCTCCACGAAGTAAGAGACTTTCAGGCCCAAGAGGTCTAAAAAGAAATAGAAATATCAGCATTTAAAAATTAGTTGTTCTGTACTCTGTAAAACCAATGAAATCCAGTCTCCTATGCAAAGCTGTTCTATATTCCCTATGAACTCCCAGTGCAGCAACTTCAACCCCATCCTCCTTTAGGTCCATCTTCAATCATCTTACATGCCTCACCCACACATCTCTACAGAGCTCTCTGTTTCATTTCATGGCTCCTTTGGACACTGCTGTACTCTCCCACCACTGTTACATATCCCATAATTACTGATTGAGCTAAATATTCCAAATGGCTGGTTCAGAGAGACCTGCAAGTTACTCAGGAAGCAAGCAGGCAAAAAGCCAGTTGGGTTCACAGTACACCAGGAATGCTATTTTTAGGTTTGGCTAACTACCCATCTTACTTGTACCCCTCTGACAAACTGAAATGATCTAGAAAGTTCAAAATTTTTCATACTAAACAGAGACAAACAAGTAGATGGTCACACCACCACCACAGCAGTGCAAATTTTGCTTCCTAACACAGGAAGCAAATGTTTATGAAATATTTATTTCATAAATATTTTTTCCCTCACATCTATCGCAACGCAATAATACATTCATTTCTTTAGCTAAGTTAACTCCAAACAGGGCTGGGACAATAAAGGTCTAATTGGAAACAAGGTCAATTTAAGGTTAGAGCCATATGTTCTACTCCAGCCGTTGTATCACCTTTAGAAACTATCAGCAGGGTTGGTGTGAAATTAAAAAAAAAATGCATTTTTGCCAGTGTTTCAAATGAAAGCAGAAATTTAACAACTGCAGTGGACAGGTTGACATACCAGGTATAAGCAAAAGAAGTAAAGTTCATATGCTAAGTGCTGGTTCACAAGCCCTTGGGTTTGCCTTACTTTCCCTTTAGCTTTGCCACAAGCAGTCCGTGATCACTATTACATAAACAAAGCTCTTATACCTGAAGTTCCTTTGAAAGCATAACCTGGAGTTACTCAAAAAAAAACCCCAAAAGCCAAATTCACAATCCACCTCCCACAGTTAAACATTTAACTTAATTAATTTAACTTAAATGTTACTGCAAATGTGACAGTTGCCATCACAAATACCATGTGCACCAATTATACACAGATTATGGTGAGTTCTTTAAATTACACATACATATGTTAATGTTTTAGGCTAGACTCAAACTTCAACTGAAGAACTGAACTAAAAGGGACTAAATCCTCGAGTATTTAAACTTTTCATATAAGAAACATAATTTGTATTTCTGGATCCAAGTTTGTAAAACCAGTCTGACAAACCCAAAATAAAAAACCTGAATCACTGCAATACAGTCTAGACAAGTTTATCTTTGAGAGACAGAAGATATATCTTTGCTAGAAGTCAGAACTTGCAATTTTTTTTCCACACTCCCTTTAAACTGCCTCTGTTTTATGTTGTCAAACTATTTTGATAGATTATCCCAAAGTTGAACCTCTCCATCTTGAGAGTAATGGATCTTGAAAAGCTCAAAGTGACGTATCACATAAAGTGACCTTAGAAAACAGCTGAGTGGGGTATTGGGGATGGTATGGGTGGTGTTTTTTCGGGGGGTGGTCAAGGGCACTGGACTTGTGGCCAAGTGACCTGCCTTCTACACCCCCATATTTCTTGCCAAAACCATTTACAAATCCTTGATTCACTCTGAACTCCAGGTCACTCCTATCTAAAATTGACAAACATTTGCAAACCTCAAAGGAGTCTCTCAGATTGAGACTTTCAGTCCTTCAGACTGAAGCACACATTACATGGAAAATAGCTCAAGCAGAAATTTCACAAAAAAAAAAAGTGTAATAGATAATATTTTGGACTTTAGAAGAGTGAAAGAATCATAACAGATTTACCTGTTTCTATGACAAATATACATCATAACACAGCACTTCACCTTTTCAGAAGAGGTGACAAGGTTTTTTGAAAGCGCGACTATCCATAACCCACATGATAAAATAATTAAATAACTTAAACGCTATCTATTCCTGAAAATCTGGCCATTTCTTGTGAGTCAGTTCCGTGTCTTTATTTCAAACCATGATCTTTCTCACTCCTGTTCTTCCTATTTTCCCTCCTGGTAAACAGGATCTGCTGTAGTTTACATAACATACCACTGGAAATCGCTTCAGATCAATAAATGCTTTAATTAACAACTAGCAACAAAGGTACCAGCTGATTACCAGAGCCTAAAAATTACCCATTTCGGAGCGGCCAAGCCTTTCAGAACCATTATATTAAATCTGAAAAACTGGGTAGTAATGAACTTTCTTTCACTAATTTTCTCTCTTCTCCATCTGAAGTATTCAGCTATAACTGACAACTTTCAGTAAAAATACCCCTCCCTTTTACATATTCAACAGTAACTCTTATTTGTGATGGTTTTGACTTTAACCACCTTCATGCGTTCTAAATAACCATCTTAGAAAATTTGACTCACCGTACTATTTCTTCAGCTTGTTGACTTACAGTTATTCTTCCAACAAATCTAAGAGAGATGGGAACGTTTTAGAAATATCTGCATAAAGACTCAAAAATGTAAAAAGTCTGTATTTACAAAAATGTCTTTAATGGTTCACAAGTACAAAATGGAACAATATGGAAACACTGGCACTAATTTTACAAGAGACATTTAACAACAGAAACATTTATCTGTCAAAAGAACAGTCGTCTGAGAAAGCCTATTAGGTTTCATTAATAACCACAAAAGATTATATTTCTACTCACTTAAAACAGATTGTGACTTTTTGATGATTCAGTAAGAAATAATTCCTCAACGAATGTAAGTCAGCATATTACCAACCAGAAATAGTATTTTTTCTTTCACTAAAACAAATCTACTCTGCATTTAAAATCTGACGTTTGCATATTTAGCATGACCTCAGCTACAAACAGGGACATAAACTTCCATAGCAATTGTACCTTAATTTGCTAAATATCAAATATCTGAACTGCTGCTCAAACTGAGTATCTTAGTTTTAATGAATTTAATATTTCTCAAAGATCCCAAAGTTTACTGAAGAACAGCTGTGACACTTGGATTTTAAAAACTACTACTTAATAGCTACCATTTTCCACTATACAATTCAGAAGAAACTTGGATGGGAATATAACTTTTGCTCCCCATGATATCTACGACATTGATTGCTGATGTTAAAGAACACTCAGATATCCCTGTTTTTAATCTAAGGTTTTACTGTTGAAGAATGGAGTGCAAATCTTGAGCACATGCAAAATAAACATGGTCAACACATATCTTTGGAATTAACATAAGCTTACAACAATTTGCTATGATTTGAGTTAATTTCACTTTAAAATATCCTATATAGTACTGAAATCACCTGGCAGAACCTTATACAACTCATTCTCCAAACTGGTCATATTCACAGGCCATTTAATTTTTTTAAATCTGGAAACAAGTTTACTGGTTAGAACAGAAATGTACATAATTAAAATACAAAAGATAAATAAAAACTATAATTTTTGGTTTAATACCAAAATACTAAAACTTGCCACTTGCAGCTTTCAGTAAGTACATATGTATAAACACAGGCTAATTATTAAAATCTAAAATTCAAGCACATGTCTGAAGCTATTTTAATTGCAGCAAGACCGATAACATTCATAATATTAAACATCTCATTTTGAGGTGTTAATTTCAAAATATTTACTACTAAAGTGATACCTGTACAGATCTGCTTCTGGCTGCTGACATTCTATAACAGCTACCAGTTTGTCCAGGTTGGCAACAGACTGCAACACTGCTGTTTCTGGGACCGCAACGTGCGTCTGTAAAACAGTGCCCCTTAAGTTAACACAGGACTACCAGGCAGCAGGGGGGGATTTCAACAGGTTGAACTAAAAATGGCATCCCAAATTAACTGTTTCACAGAAGTAACCCAGACCTTAAGATTGGTCTCTCCATCCAAACTTGCAGTGGTGACATGGCATGAACCGTCCACTCGATCAGACGACAGAAGCACCAGGTCAACAGGAAAAGTCTCATCTTTGGCTACTCTGACAATGTCCCCCACCTAATGAAGTGAACACAAATGAGAAATACACAAAGGGAGTTTGAAAAGAGCAGAATTCATTTCAGCACTGTTACCTAACCATGATCAAACAGGTCACAATGATTAGTAATGAAACAAGAGCTGTACTTATGTGATAGAAACACAATTTTCAGTTTGCCCTTAACCACATACCCGAATGTTTTTAGATCTAGTTTTCACAAGGCCACCACTTCGAACAACATAAACTGGAGCACCGTTGACTTCATTGTCTGCTTTATGTCGTAGCCAATCTTCATAACCCTGTGGAAAACACACAGAAATTTACTTTTCAAGCAATAAACCTAAAAAGCTTACTAAATATCTTCTAAGCAAATGTGCCTCAAATTACTTCCTGCATAATCTGAATATAGTCACTAATTTCTCTTGAGTTTCTACTAGAGCTGTTACTCAAGAACCTGGGAAACCTCTTAATTTTCACTCACAGGAACAAGTAAATGCACATAAAGCAGCAAAAGTGGTGAAGAAACTTAACAATTCCATATTCTCTGAAAATAAACAGGCAGTGATATTTTCTGCAGATCAGATGACCAAGCACTCATTAAATCGTTGATCTGTATGGATTATTATACCAAAAATCTGGGAAGAGTCATTCCCCAGGGTCCTTTATGGATTCCTTCTTTTTAAAGAAGTAACAGACTGAAATTACTTCCTCAAGTCATACCAGACAGCACTTCTTATACTTACTGTCATAGCCTATGCATGAAATCTTAAGATTTCCTAATTTTGCGTGACATGCTGTTGACACATCAGCTCTGTATAGCAAGAGAAGATGACTGAGAAGGTTTTAATTCTTTTTGAGTCCTAATGGAACAGTTTGCAGCAACTGAGCTTTTAACTGATAAATTAAGCAGTTTTTCTTAAATTGATATTCTGCACCTCTTCAAGCACCCTTTATCCCATGCACACAAATGTGCAAACATTCCTGATCATGAATCCAGGTATATTATCCCCATCTTATTTTCCTGAAGTATTTATACATTGCTTATTTAATCTAATAGCATTAGATCATAATAGCATAATAATCTCTAATCCCCAAATCTAGGTACTGTTTGGAAAGCCCCACAAGCAGTGCAAGAAATGGATCAATCTATGGATCAACTGCCTCCTACATCCTGCCAAAACTCCTGCAACTCATTTGCAAGAACAAAGATTTCCTAAAATGCTTTTCTGTAGCTATAAAATCTGTGAAAGAGTTAAAAACACTTCCTTGTAAGTCTGCAGACAGAAGGAGGGAGCCGTATGAAACAGCAGGCATAATCCCAACTCATCCTACAAACATTATATGAATGTAACAATACAAAGAGTATTAATGCAGATGCAGTTGGAGAGTTCTGCAGTTGTCTGTAGTCTGTAGGGAAGTTATATGATGAATTTTGTATGTTAAAAGTACAGTTTTGCAGCTCTACCTTCATGTACCTCCACTGTTACTAGCACAAATGAATAAGGACAGCACAACTGCACTGCCTGGGTTTGAAAAGAAAGGGGAGAGGAAACAGGGAAAAGAAAAGAAGCTTTATATGCCAAATGCTTAAAAATAAATAATTAAGAAGTGTGTAGTAATAGCAGCCACACTCAGAAATTCTGGGAAATTAGAATCCTAAAGCTCCTAAGTAAGACTCTTTTAAGCATCCTTCCTAATCAATATGAAAAAGCAAGAGTCAGTACCTACAGCTCCTTGTTAAAGGTGACTGACAGAAGAAAACAAAGGTTTAACTAAAATCCAGTAACCTTGGGGCATTTGTCTCATAGACCTGAACAGCTGAGCAATATGGGCATTTGGCAAAGAACTGAAATTTACCTTCTTTAGAAAGTACAGATTTCAGCGCTTTCCCCATCTGACATCTACTGCCTACAACCCAAGGGTGACACCTCACACCAGGGAATTCTTAAGAGCCAACTTAATGTGGTCAGTTCAAATTCCCCCCAAATTTACCTACTGCGGCATTTTTGAGAGTTCCTTATCCTCACTTGCAACTATTGGAAAAATACTGTGACAAAGAGAGATGCCACAGGAACACAGGGAATGTTGCTTAATTGCGTGAAGAGAAACTAAGATTAAATTCCCTCAATTAAATTATATTCTTAAATTCTGTTTAAATAACTGCATCAAATGTAATTGAGAAACAGCCTGCATTTTATATGACCAGGGTTTTCATTGTCAGTATAGGTCTATAATTATTCAAAACCTTCAAAGTTCATAATTTAACTGACAGTCAAGTAAGCATCTCTGTTCAATCAGCTAAATATCTGTAACTTATTGAAATGGACTAAGTATCCTAAAGCTCCTTGGGAAATACCTTTATTTTATTGTGTTTTGGCTTGTTTTTTTAACTTTTTATTTTTATTTGTTTGCCAATTTTGGACTCCTCTGAGGACTGTATATAGACCTTCACAGGCACAAGGAGGAAAGTGCTCTGGCTAACAGGACAGATAAAATGACACAGCATGAGTTGCACCACTTTGCAGTCTAGTATGTCCTTCTTCTGACCTAGGTGCAATTACACTTCTAAGAAAAAGTTCTGTCTCCTTTGCTGAGTTTAAAATCAGGCTGAGTTCTGAGGTTTGCTAGAGGTTCCAAATTAACTGGTCTTCTGGAAGCAGGGGAGAGTTCTTCCACCCACTGCTAAGCTTCTTAAACCTGCATATGGTTAATGCTTCTATTTTTCACCTTCATCTTTTGAGAGAATATTAAATCATAGTTTAACATTTATTCTAATGTAACTTTGTACAGAACTGGTGCCCCACAGCTTTCAAAAAGGGGTTTCTTTCCTTAAAATCTGCTTCCTGTGAGAGAAAATGGGAGCTGATTTTGAGGCAATACTGAGTATTTTCCCCCTCTGCATTCCAACAGAAGGTTTGTCTTTCTTCCCTGTCTGAAGGCAGCCTGTTGGAAATAGCACACTTAATTGTCCTTCCAAGGTAACAGCTTGTGAATATTTTTTGCCTTCTTTGCAGCATGTAGGATAAATGTGAGAGTCCACTAGATCAGCTTAGGTGGTTCCAATAGTCCTTGCAGAGATATTGAGACAGCCAGGAAATCTCCTGGTGCTTTGCAAGTCATGAATGATTTCAAGTTTCTCCAGAAGGAATGACAGAATCTCTATTCTTTGCAATTGATGATAAGATACTTAAATTTCCCAATATAAGATCGGACATCTGGAACAAAGGTGGTGTTAAATTATTTTGGCCTATTTTAGACTTACACAAGTCCAACTTCTTCCTGGAAAAAATGATCTAATATTTATAACTCTGTTTCATAATCTCTTTTAGTTCACACACCTTTAAGGGATATTATCCATTGCCTACTTATCATTCTAGCTCTTGAATATGTGATTTTCTTGGGGGGATGATGGTAAAAACTGCAATTGAATAGGATTAGGGCACTCTACATACAGAAATTGCACAGTAACAAGATGAAATGTTAGTCCAAATATTACTCCAGCATTAAGAACCCCTCTGCCCCACTCTACCCAGTTGAAAGCTAGAACTATTTTTACTTTTGCTCTATTTCTGGGTGCCTTTGGGTGTTATTGGCACAGAAGGCAAATTGAAATTCCAGTTGTAGCTGTAACAGTCTCCTGCTTATTTTTCAGTTGCTAGACTGCATCTCTTCCCCAGACAGCACTGTCAAACCCCTTGAAGGGGATAGTTCCTGAAAATAATCTCCCTGCAGAAGAGATTATAATTTCTATTCACATCACCTCTTTATTTATGAGCTCGTTTCTTTCTCCTCTTGCTTTAGGGGTTTAAAGAAAAAAAAGATCTTATGTTTTCTCTTTCTTCTATTTCTACATTCTCATTACCGGGGCTCTAGGTCTCAAAATGGTGCTTGAACAAGATTTCTGTTAAACTCAGGTTTTTCTTATTTCAGGTGCTATAAAGCACTTCAAAATGTTTTATGCAACCAAAGAAGAAGAAAAGAAAACCAGAAGCTTTCTAAATTGGAGCTTTTACCTGGTACAGGATTACATTTAATACCTACTTTACACCATGGAACGTACGTACTCCTTGGGGCCAAACTTGCCTTTTAACTACTGACAAACATGGGCTGCACCACTGCTCCATCCACCCAAGCTCCTTTCTCAGTGTGTGATGTGGGAGGACTGGTTTTGATATGCAGCGAGGTGTGCCAAAGGAATAAGCGAGGAGCTTTCAGAAAAGGTCTTATAACAAGTGACATGTAATGTTTAGACAAAAATGCTGCCTGACATCATTCACTGTCCATTTAAGGGTACTGCAGTGAGTCACTGAGCGCTCGACAACTAACCAAATGCTGAAGCTCAAGTATCTAAAAAGAAACATTAAATACAAAATCCTTTCTAAAAATTACACTGTTTTACGTATTTTTAGTATCAAAGTATTTTCTTGGTCAGACTTTGTTAAGTAACTTTACCCTCAAAAGACTTCATGCCACAAGGTTTTTCCCCTTTACCTGCTTTATGGCTGTCACAGTTATGACAAAGAATAATGGCAATCCACTGGTAATAGGACTGGTAGGGGTATCTATCATGAGCTAAAAGGGAAGAAAATATGAACATTAGCTCAAATTTTATTTTCACCATTGTAATTTCAAAAAAAGGTCAATAAAAAACCACCCTAATAAAGTAAGAGATGACAACTATTTTCCAAGTATCTCATTATAAACTGTGAGTGTTTTTACTGCACTTCCTGCAATATTTCTGGAGCAAAACTCAGTTTCTGACACTTAAATAATACATGTCAATAATGATGCAAACAAAAGGTTCTAGGTAACAGAGCAGCCTTAGTCACATTTGTAATGCATGTGACAACTTTAGGAGTCCTTAGTAAAAGGAAGATATACTTCCATTCTACAGAGATGAATTTGGAAGTATACTACAAAGGAAAGAAATCTACATTTCGTGATGCTGTTTCAACATTCTATACAATCTACTGCTTACCAGCAATGTAGAGTATAACATCATCCACTTTAGAAGTGAAAATAAAGTTAAAAACAGTAGTTTCCAATGGTTTAGATATTAGAGAACATTTTCTTTTTCAGACTGCACCTTTCCAGTTCCCCCAAGTTAACATGCATTTTTTACAATCTGTGCTATTGTTGCTGGCATGCCAAAAGTGCAGTGTACACACTAAGATTCTTTATGTGGGGGGATGTTAGTGCTTCTCCTCTGCTGCAGGAAAAAAACAACACGGTCAAGTGCTGCAAAGAAAATATACACAGGAACTATTCAAAACCACAGACACTGATTGGATCCACTTTACCTGAGACCTATGGCATTGCTTTGGGAATCATTAAAGAAGAAAAAACAAAATCATACATGAAGTTTACTCTCTTAAGAGCTAAGAGCCTCACAGACAAAACAGATTATGCCACTTTACAATGCATGCATGAGTTTATTTCTTTTGCCATTGAAACAGACAATTTATAGAACACAATAAAAATGAGACATAGCCTGCAATATTGTTCTTCAACTGTAGCACTGCAATTTCAGCTTGGCAGCATGTTGTCCAAGAAGACCCATGCCAAAAGCACCTGATTTAGGTGATATAGATGACATTTCTGCCATCTATACTCTCTCACTCTTTCTCAAGAGAGGCTCACATATAAAAATGAAGCAGGTTTTATGCTGGTGGAATTGTCATGGCAGCCTGCTCCCTTTGCCTCTTTCACCAGAACACCATGGTCCTTTGCCTGCCACACAGCTGGACACACATCCACACACACCTGGTGTCACCAAAATGCAGTCTGTCACCATGTTTTGGGCATGCACGTGTGTGGTGAACAACGTGGACTGGACTGTGCTGTAAGTTTAAATCCCACACTGAGACTTTGCCCCAGCTCTGCCATCCCCAGTGGAACAAGGTGGTAATGACAGATTCTGCATCTTGGTCACATGAGATTCATATGACAGGGAATATACCATGGTGATCAACTTTAAAAGGCACCTTTGCCTTATATAAAAAAAAAAATTAGATATTAATGAACTTCCAAGTGGGATTTGAATAAAAACATTCTAACAAATGAACAAAAACTACTGCAGCTTTTCTCCTGTTCTATTTCCAAGAATGCAGGCACATAGACAAGACATTTCCCATACACATGAGGGTATCCACTTGTCACAAAGAAAACAGGATTACACTCAGAATAGAAGTTATGCCTTTAGATCTCTATTTGTTCATGGACATCACATTTAGATATTACTGAACTCAACAGTTTGAAAGAAATGTGACACAAAATTGAACTAAAGGGGTAAATCTGCATTAAAAAGAAATAAAAGCAATGCTGGCTGTGGTTACTTTAAGTAACATTTATGTACTATCTCCAGCATGTCTCCATGTTTCTCAAGCTCCAATATATTTAAACAGCATGAAACATCACAACAGGAATGACACAGTCAATACTCTTAACTAGGAAAATGCGATGGACAACACATTCTGTTAGACAAAGTTAGAACAGTATGACTTTAGTGACTCCCAACACAGGAATTTTCAGGTTAGAAAGGTCATTCTTTCTAAATGTGAAAGAACAAGGTCAAGGGACACAGGAGGCAATGGATTCAAAACCACAGAACTGGCCCAGTACTGACATCTTGCACAATCACAGACAAATTTTATGAACTCCTCACTATCCCTGTTTTTTGTCAAATGAGGTGCCATATTTTTCAGATGCATACTATTAAATGTTGGTTAATCACTGTGGAGGACTGCACACGTTCAAAGCATTCTATTTTATAATGATAGAAAAGTTTGTGTACCCCAAAATCTTGTCTCTGCCTCAGATATTAATTTGTCTTTCAAAAGTTACTATTTCTCCTTAGACTCTTTCTCCTTTCACCTGCTAAACCTACAATAGCTCCACAGAATTCAGGTACAATTACAGAGCTGGGGGTGCAAAGATTACCGAAAATGTACACACTGTCATAATATACTCGTGGATGTTCTTCATTAAAAGAAGAACAAAAAAGCTACAAAAGCCACAGCAGTATTTCTGACCTGTACTGTAACAATAACAGCATTAACTGACATCTTCAAAACTGACAAACTGTCAACCCAAATTGTAACACCTGTGGGTTCATTTTATCTGAACAAGTTGAATGTCAGGATCTTAGAACTGTGTCTCAATAGTCTGCTGATTTACAAAAGCGAGATTCCTCCTACACTGGGGAATTTACACTAATCTCTGCTCAGCTCAAGAGCAAGCACACTGCCCAGTTTGGTGCCAGTGAACCTGAATGTCTGCGTTTCTGCACACAAATGTCCAAGAAGCACTTAAAAACACAGAGTAAAACTCCTGGTTTGTTCAAACACCACCAATGCCCACAAAAATAAGAAGTCTATTTGGAATTTCGTTACCACCTTACAAGATTTAAAATTGTATTTTGAGGCAATTGAGTCCCTCTGCTGTCAGTGCAATGGGCTTTAAAGCTGCACACTTAAATACATTGGCATTCATAAAGGTAAAACCTAAGAATAACACTTAAATTTGGACATAATTATTTTTAAAGTGATGTTCTTTTCCCAGAGAAACTGGAAATGTGTTCTTTTTATAGGCAGAATATGTAAGTAGAGAAGTTAAATTCACAGAACAAAAATCAGTGGCAGATTTACAACATAAACTGCAATTTCCTGAGTATTATTCAACTTACCTGAACCAAAAATATAATGAGAAAATAAAAGTTGGCTACTCTTCTGAACTGCTCAAATAAGTTTTTTGGAACAAAATTCCACACTGTATACTGAAGGGAAAAAAAGAGAGAGAAGAGTAATTATGACACACTGAACAGTTTTTCAATGAAATTCAGTTCCAATCCCATTAAAGTCTAAATCTTTTCATTCTCCATCTCCCCTCCCCCAAACCTTCTCCTGGTCTTGGTCTTCTCCCACACAGAGCTGCTGTATCCAATTTTTGTTGTTTTTTTCTCCTTCTGTTTCAAGTACAGCTAGCAGGGAAGCAGGGGTAGCAACTGCATTGCCAGTACAGGCCATGTTTTAAATGTTCTCCTACCCACTGGGATAGGGGCAGCTGGAGTCATTTGGCTGTTTGCATCCTGGGTAGCAGGGAAGAAATTTAATTCTTGCAGCTGTAACATTCTCTCCAACACCACAGAGACAAGGCACATCCCACCACCAGCTCCACTGATTTCAATCCAAGAACACACTAGGAGGGAATCTGCAACTGCAGTCCACTGCTGATTTATTTTATGCAGAGTATTAGTTTTCAATTTGGCTACTTTAAAAACTCTCACAACCAGCTTCACCCTTCCTTTTAAGTAGTTTGGTGCATCACATCCAGACATGACCAGCACTAGTTTAAAACCTACTTTCCTTCAGAAATCCTGACCAACAGGCTTAATTGCTCTGTACTTTAATAGGCTTTGAGGAAAGAAGGATGAGAGGAGAAAAACTACATAGGAAGCAATCTTGCTTTTCCCTCAAAAAAGTTTAGTTTGTTTCATTTTGAATATTGTATATGCACCACTAGACATCATACACACCTGCACATTTACCAAACAACTTTTTAAGTAACATATCAAGTGGTTTTCCCACAAAAAATTGATTCCTTACCTTGGATGATATGATTCTGTTGTCTGCAAACTTCTGAGGAATATAATGGCCATGCTGGGGAAAACGATTTGCTATATAAATAGTTCTTGTATCGCTTTGATGTGGTGGGTCAAAACCCTAAAACATAAAATAAAAAAGAGGTGATTGAGAAAGGTTGTTAATAGTTGCTGTTTTCTAAAACTGTTAACTTTGTGCTGAAAAATGATATACACATATCAAGCAGAGTTTCAGAATAGTGGCTCTTGAATAGTAAAGAAAATTAATGTACAAAATTGAAGTCTGTTTTGTCCATAGAATTTTCAAAAATTGGGAAAAAACCCTCCCTCAATTCTGAGGTTGTGTACTCATTCTGAAAAATAAAATTAAAAAAATCCTTTCTCAAGAAGGACAGAGATGCAAACTTGAAACCCTGTGAAACTTAAAAAAGAAGAAATAGAAATGAAGATGAAAATATAATTAAATTACAAAACCTCACAGCTGTGCTCATAAAACCGATTATAGAAAAAAATAAAAGGTCAAAACAAACAAGTTATATTAGTATGCTGTGATACCTGGATTTTGAAAAGATTCTCACCAGCTAAAAACCAAAAGCATATGCATCTGACTAGACAATACTGTTTTTCCAAACAGGTTTTATCTCCAAGAAGTAACAATTTGTCAAATCTCAAATGTGATTTCCTGTCACGACCACCAATTCATCCAACAACTCTGAGTCATCCATGTCATCCCACTGAGGAAAAGGCCTTCAATGCTGAGGAGGCTGGAGAAGAAGTGGGAGCCACAGCTGAAGCACTGAGAACCCACTGGACAACACCCAGAGGACTGGAACATGAGCCACAAGGGATCCTAAAAACATGACTTATAACGCAAGGCTGAACAATCTAAAAGGCAAAGAGCAAACAAATTAGAGTCATTTAGCCTAGAGGAGAGGAAACTTGGGATGTCCTAGTAAATCTTCTGATATATAAAAGACTGTTCCATTGAGAAAAGAGGTAATTTAAAGGACAAATAAGAACAGAGGCAAGTAGGCTTAAGCTGCAGGTAGGAAAACTTAGTCTGGATATTGGCAACCAAACCAAAATTCCTTTCTTATGGAAAGGAAGAATTAAAAACCAAAATAAGTCATGTGGGAAGGTTGTAATGTCTCTGTAACACAAGGGCTTGTATCTAGGTCATTCAAGTCTATCTTTAATAGAGCCTTTCCTGGGGCTACATGACTCACCAGAACTCTTCCTAGCAATAATTTTTTGACCTGGACAAGCAGGTGATGCCAAAAGACAACAAACAACACAATAAACCAGTAATAATTCAGACAACAGGCCAAGAAAACTACTAAAATAAAAAGAGAAAAGCTCTAAGACATGAAATAAACCAGTGAAATTAAATCTGGAACTGTTAATTGTTCAATCAGGAATCAATGACTGTCTCTGAGGTGCTGAATTTCAGCGCCAACACCACCCACATTCCTAATCTTAGAATTGACTTTGCACTGTGTCCACAATCTCCTTGTTCTTTGATGCCACGTGAAAGGACAACTGGTGGAACAGCTAGGAAGGGCATTACCAACTCCATTACTGCAGGTGAGGAAACGACATTTGCAGTTGTGTTGCTTCACATGTGAAACCAGGCTCAGACCCTGAATGATGTCAAATAAAAACTGACACTTCACAGAACTCCAGAAGATGATACTTCTGTACCAGTTAACTACAGATGATAAACAGTGAGCACAATGAGTGACACAAAAAGTGGTTGGTATAACCCATCAAGAATTTTCTTTAATCCATGAATATCTCTAACACAGGGCATTAGGTCTGTTCACATCCAGGATGGTGTCATTTTAAAGTAACGTAATAATAAAAAGAATCCTCTCAAACATACAAATTTTTGTGTTTGACATCATTACCAGAGAAACCTTCTGCATCAGAAAGAAAGAGGTCCAGAAAAAAGAAGGGAGAAAGAAAGGAAGGGGAATTTTTCAAAGAGATTTGAAGGAGAACAAACTTTAGATGACAAGCAGTGGAAGGCTGGTCTAGTCACAAGCTCCAGGGTGAAAACTTGTTTAAAGATAAGAGCGGAGCAGTGAGACAAAAAGTAGATAGGGGAAAGGACAGGAGAAAATACATAGGATGCCAAAAGCAAAAAGAAAGGAACTGTTCACAGCTTTAAGAAATACAAGCATGAAAGTAAGATAAAAAAAAAAGTACCTGTTAAATGATGACACAAAATTTAAAAAGAGAACAGTGTTTGCAGCAGAAGCATTTTGGATACCTGACATTAGTGACACATTATTTCTAAATCAATCCAGAAGATGCCACAAATAAAAGGGTTTTGCAAGCAAGAAAAAATGTGCCTAATTAGTAAGACTAGGTACACAGCTCTCTTCTATCTCAGAAAATGTCTGGCACTCACAAAATACCAGACATTCTCACTTTGGAAAGTCATACTCTACAGCCTGAAAAAATTCAAACAGATGTAAAGCAAGGGAAATAAAACCAGAAAAAGCAAAGAAAACAAGTGGCAGTCTTCTTTCTGACAGTGAAAAATGCTAATCTCCATGCCACTTGCTGAAAGTTATTAAAAGATAAACGAAAGATTTCAGAGTGACTACAGTATCACTGAATTTTTTATATGCCCTTTTTAGGCAACTATCTGAGCACCTGAAAGTTGATGAGTTTGATGACATTTTTATTATGAAGAGTAAAGACCTCTGTACAATTCCAGCCTCACTGCACAAGCACTTCTATCAGAGAAGAATACATCTGCTGAAGCAGACTCAACTGATTAAAAGAAATCTATTTTCCAAATCAGAATCTCTGGCCATACAATTTTACAGGTGCAGTTGTGCAGTTAAAACAGCTTAAAATTGCAGTCTTTACACATTTAATTCCATTTTGTTGACATTTGCCACAGAGAAAGCTCAGAAGCTGAGCAGTCAGCAGATCACAAAGCACACCCAAGGCAGGCTGGGGACAAAAACCCTTCAGTTGTCAGAGCTGTGGCTGGAAAAGGACATCCCTGACAACCTTAGTGACTTGGCTGTAGTGACAGCAGGAAATAAGTGTCAGAGCTGGGAACAAAACCCAGATTTCTTAATTTTATGACTGTAACTTCTAAAGATCATTTGAAATTACCCAGCATCCCTGTCATCTCATAATTAGCCAGACCACAACCAAGTAGATCTGCCAGAGAAATTTTCATTACACATCTCTCCAAGGAAAATTCTGCACAGACAATGAACTTAATTTTCAAGAACTGAAATGTCTTTAACACTTCTCAAACTATGGGACTGGTCATTGAGCCTGCTCCTGACACAAACTGATTTGTAGTCCAAATTTTTGCCCGGCAAAGGGATTTTGCACGGTAACTGTACACAGCCAGCAAAGCAGGCTGAAGCACACTGTCTCCTAATTTCACTTATTAGACAGTTCTCTCTTTCTAACGTCATTCTCTAACTCAGCTGCAGAAGTAGGGTAACATGCCCTTGTCAAAGGATTTCTGCAGCTGAACAGCATGAGCAGAGAATCCCCAAATTAAAGTTTGAGTCTTGCAAAACAATTGTCACCAATATCTTTCAACAAAAGTTAGTTTTCCTGCAGTTCTCTCGTGAAGTGATTTCTACCCAAGTGCACAGATAATTGATGACATCACAAATGATGCTGAGTGTATTACAGAATCTGATATTTAAGGCTTCTTGATAAGGTATATTACAGGCATATATATTACATGAGTCAGCTTTAAATAAAATTTGACCATAAGATAAAGTGACCTGATTTTCCCCCCTTCATGCTACAAGTTAAATCTAGATTTATTAGCTAAAGTTCAGCCCTTCAGCTGATTTATCAACACAAACCAGGAGTTATCTACCCTTGGAATACATCCCTCACTTAATTTCAATCTACACATTCCCAATAGAAGTTTTGCACCCAGATAAACTCGACATGTTTGTTTTTGAATACAGTTTAAACACATACCACTTAAATACAATACAAAGTGCCTGAGTGAAGCTGATTTACAAAGCACAAATGAAAGTAACTTTTGAGGGAAAAAAAGAAAAAGAAGAAATAAGTGATTCAGAGTTTTCCTTTTTTATAAATTTGCAATGACTCTAACCAAAGACGAAGTAGTTTTTACTAAATTCCTTCAGCAGTGATTTCGTTACTGTTCTAAAAGTTAGACAAAGACATCCTCTGTGCAATAATTAGGTCCCTTTAAAACAGCACAGAAAACATACCCTGAGGAACTGAGGAGAAATATTTGACTGCAATTTTATGCAATTTATTTCATGAAAGAAATGGGATTCAACAGCCACCCCCAAATAACCCCTTCCTACATTCTGTCTCCATCTCAACTACTGTACCAGAATTGCCCATGTAGCCATCGGATGAGGTGGACTGGAAAACTGATCCAACCGAACCCCCACCATTTTTCCCACTTGCTTTTTTTTATTTTATTTTTTTTTTTAATGTGTCAGTTCCCTAAAACAATTGCATGGTCATGCCAATTGCCTGGTGACAAAAGCATTTACTATGAAAGAAGAGTTTTATATTGCTGCTGAGGAAGCATTATTAACACACACAATGAATTAGGCAACCACAGAGTAAGCAAACGAGAAGCAGCACTACAAAAAGAGACCCTCCCAACACCTGCAAGCGTAAAGGAAGAAAAGAAAAACAGCTTTTGTGGTCAACTTGTTGATATAATATACACATATACTGCATATATATATACATATATACACATATAATGCTTCAATACCACTATTAACATAGGGCAGTGTGCACGTACACCCTCCCCACGCCCTCCCCAGCACTGTGAAGTGAGACAGCAGGAATTCATGGATCTTTCAGCAAGGATTAGTGACATGAGACCAGCACACAACAAACCAATCGCTGTGTCAAGCTTTGCAATCCAAACATCGATAATTACAAATCATCTGACAGGCAGTTTTTGCCTGTGACTTGCATAAAGCTGGCATGGTTTAACATCATCTCCCAGGGTTTCTCATTCATTCCTCACAGCTTTTACAGGGGTAAAAAAAGCAAACTTATATTTGCCAAAAGAACTTCTGCTATGTGACCACTTTTCAGTGAAAGGGGTTTGAAAGAAGAAGTCTCATT